GACAGGTTTCATATTGACGCACTGTTGTGATGATGCAATGCTCTATGAGGGACCAGATGCTACACAAAACAAGCATCTAGTTTTGTGTGTGACTAGAGAGGTTTGTGATTTCGACAGTGTTTTGTTGATTTAATCTTCCAGTGTCACGTACTCACAGGTTGGGTCAAGCACCTCGTGTGTAATGACCTCAGTGGAGGTTCTTTCTGAGGCTGCGTTTGTATTCCAGGTGTGATAACTGAATTTGATTTGACATGTGGATGTAAATCATTTACAAATACCAAGGCCATGCTGTAACTGAGCTCCAGGTGTTTGCAGAAACAACAGAGGTGTAATGCAAACACATAATGCACCTATAGCATGAGAGCAGCCAGAACACCATGTAAAGCCTCTCCTTGTTCCAGTTGCTGCAAGATGTTTAATGCTTCTAAACTCACTCTTTCTGTTTGTAAACACAGAGCTGTACAGAGAACAGGCACATCCATAGTCCCCCCACCCCAACCCACCTCTCTCCTATGTTGTTGTTTACAGAAGGAAAGCCCTCATTACTGGCTATGTACACTCTACTACTTCCTGTTCTCCCTCTCACACGCTTCCTGTCATCAGCTGGCCTGGTCTAATAAAGCGGCACCGTCTTTTTCCTGCAGCTGCAGAGCTATAACGAGACGGGCAGCAGATGAAACCCGCGGATAGCTCACAGCTTGCTCGGTGGAACGGGATGAGTTTCTCACGCAGCAGCCTGGGTCGTTATTGTTCAGGAAGCACAAACAAGCTGCAACAAGTAAACATGGCCATTTAAAATGTTGAGGTTGGCATTTATTAAAGCAAGATGCTGCTGGGGAAGACCCACTGTGTGTCGGGCACGTCTCAGGGTTAAGCTGACTGATACATTACTGTGTATTTAGTTAAAGTTATTTTAAGCTTTTCCGGTATCTTTTAAAAGAGCTTTCAAAGTATAAACTGGGGAGACAGGGTTATTCCTCTTTGCCTTTTGAACCATTTTTTATTCTTTGCCTCATTAAAGAATCTACCGACAGGATGCAGCCCAAGGAAAGTATTTTTGTGCAGGATGAAAATGGGAAGGGATTACTGCCGGGCCTTTATAAACCACTAGAATTTGGGGCAGAAAAAGAGAGGCTATGAGGGAGACTGTGTTACAGAATGACAGACAGAGAAGCTTGAGAGTTTTTCTCCCAGCGAAGCAAACGCTCTGTGGGCCAGTTGGCTCAGAGCGGAGCGGCAAAACACAGGGCCGTTGACATGGTGACAGAGGAACACTTCCCTCTTAACTCAGCTCCCGCTCAGCCACAGGGACGGGGAATAAGAGAGGAGGGCTGCTCCGCTTCTCGAGCCAGTTGTAGATATTGGTTGACACAAGGTCAGGTTTTTTGCAGAGCACACAGCTGGGATGAAAGGACAGGACACAGTGTGCATATATACAGCGGTCTTGTCCTGCACTTTGTGGTCAGAGTGGTCTGGACGATCATAGCCTGATGTTGAGGGTTCACAGAGTCTGGATGGATCCAGTTCTGTGCTTGATGTGAATCCTTGAGTGGGCCATAAAACTATTCATGCAGCTGCAAATTATACAAGTTGACCTTTTCATGCACTGTCAAATATGAAGCGTTAGCAACTGTCAGACAAAGTGCAATCTCATCCGACACCACTATAAATCTATTGGGTTTTATTAAAAATGTGTTTGTGTGTTATCATTCAAACAGACTTTTAAACTTGTTAAACGTGTAGAGTGTATCATATCTACACTGAAAACGACAGTACGTTATATTCATAGACTCAAGAAGTGAATATAGCCATTAGTTTCAAAAGGAAAAGCCAATGCAGAAGTGCTTTTTAAATTGCATTCTTTATCATGGCCTGCAGGGGGCGACTTCACAGGTTCCAAAAAGGTGTCTCCCTGTGTTGATATTTATGAGAAAATCAACAAAATCTCTCACTCGATTTATTACCTGAGCACACATTTTTTGAACAAGTTTATTGTCTCAATCGCTGTAGTTTCAATCTGTTTTCTCCACAACGATGTTTGTTTTAGCCTCATTACTATTGCAGGAATTTTCACCACATTTGAAGGATCTCAGCTTAGTTTTATGGTAGGCACAATGGTCTAAATTTCCTTTTTTAACTTCAGTGGAAACAGATAACAAAACCAGGTTGTAAGATTTTGATAATTCCCTGAAAACAGTCCTTGTTCCTGGGACAATCTAAGGTCTATTCTAGGGCTTGGTTACTTCGGTTTAACCTGCTAACCAAAATAGAGTTTTAGCAAAGTGTATCTAGCATTTAGGAAAATGACTCCACAATACCAAGCTGGTGAGTGCCAAAATGACAAACTCTGCGTTTTGTCAACAAACCAAGAGGATGACATAACAGTGGTGACATCCACGTCTTATAAACAGCTGGTTCTGATTTAATGTGAGAGGATTTAGTAGTAGTTTGGCTTTGTGATGAATCAAGGTGCTCATTGAGGTGTAGCTTATAGAAAGTTCCTTTTATGGAAGAGAAGTGTTTAATGCAACAGCTGGATAACATCCACTCTGCCTCCCGCTTATACGTTTATATACATTTATAGACCTAAAACATAGTTCACCGTTAAACACAGATGTTCTTCTTACTCTTTATCTCTCATGTCAGAAACATTAAAGGTCTTTGAGGTCTTTCATGCTGAGACAGTAAAGCCGTGCGTCGGGGTTGAGGGAGATGAGGCTCTGAGGAAATTGAGTGCGTTTCCTCTCTGCTGGAGCAGACGGGCAGGGTGCTTCTCCCCCGACTCTCCAAGAACACAGCCAAAAAAGGAAGCAGAGCGCTGCGAGCCTCATGAGCTGCCAAACTATTCCTGTAAAAGCACTCTTTTGGTAGAGAGAGGCCTGAACAGGAGACGTTTGGAAAATGTAAAGACAAAACATGTATACAGAGAGGAGGACACACATTGAATTGATTGTGTGCTCTTGCGGTGTGTGGAGGAGAAAATCAGGTTGTGAAAAGCTGGTATGATCGCAATGGACTTTACTGAATTAACAGCTATTTATTAGAACATGTGCAGACCCCTCAGGAGGGGAGCATTCGACCAAAATAACTGGCCACAGCAGTGTAATCAGTCATGTTGCTGTTGGATTATGGGGGGGGGGGAATTTGTTACACTTTGCTACAACTCTGACAGTTCTTTTGAAATATTCACTGGTGTTGTTTGCAAAAAAGGTATACAGGAGGCTAGAGAGAGGGGGTTCTCTGCATTCTCACAGATGAAAAATAGTCGACAGACTCTGCTGATTGTTCAACATCTGGAAAAGATTTGGGCACGAGAACTGGTCCTGGTGGATTCCCGACAACATGCGCCAATGGGATGTACAGTATATTCTGGACAGGCTGCCTGTGAAGAACTCATCAGTCTCAGGCACATAGCTCTATACTCTGAGGGTTTGTAAACTTTTCCCCAAAGACCCATGTCCTCCTTCTGGTCCCCCAGGAGAGCTTCTAGCAGTTCCCTTCTGTCTTTTCAAAGTTAGCCCTCTTTAAAGCCCGACTTGTTTCCTGTAGAGTTTGATTCAGTGACGCTGCCTGCAAGAATATAAAAAGTTTTGATCTGATGACACAACAAACTTTCTGACCTTCCTCCCTCTCACACGATGACGTGACAGCACAGTGAATCAACCGGCTGTGGGGGAGAGAAAGGACAACCACACCTCTATGAGAAAACACAATACTTCATCACCGGGACCCATCCCCTGGCAAAATGACACCACAGCCTCACAATTTTTTTGTTTTTTCTTTCATCACAATGCCATTCAGGGGCCACACCTCAACCTCAGATAAAAAAACATCATATCTGACCTCTGACCTCTGTGCAGCACTATTAAACTGTTGAACAGGGCTGTTTTTCTCACTGCAGCACTCCTGATGCCTTCACCATACTCCATGTATTGTCAACAGGCTGGCTTTCTAACAAGTCTTTGTTAAAGCCTTGAGGCTGATAACCTATCAGTGTGTGCTGCTGCTCCAGTGGTTTCCTTCCCAGAAAACACACACACACACACACACACACACAAACACACACATAATTTGTCCACATAACACAAGCTATGACAATTAGTCCCGAGGAAAAGCAGTCACTTCAAATACCATTAAAAACTGTCACTCTCCTTACCGCTTTCTCAAAGTCTTTTCTAGTTAAAAGGAAGATTCTCTGCTGTCCTTTAATGATAACTCAGGGAGGAAGACATTTGTTAGGTCGCTGTAAATAATATTATAAAGAACATAGTCTTGACCTTAGACTGTCTACAGTATGTGGATGTAGACTCTAGTTTAGTGAAGTGAAGCTAATGTGCCTAAAACCTGTGGTCTTTTTTAAAATGGCCAACAGGGGGCGACTCCACTAGATCCAAAAATAGAAATCAAATGATATGAAACCAGATGAAAAATGACCCTACTTCTCCACCCTTTTGTTTAAAGTTTGTTTTCAATTAAGTTCATGGTCTCATTGCTCTTCACAAGTCTCTTTTATTACAGCTCTATGTTCATTTTCAAAATATGATCTGTTTACTGTCTGTTTACTGTCTGTTTACTGTCAAATGAATGATAAAGCAGTGTGTTTAAGAGTGTGGTTACCTTTGAGAAGTTATAATAGAAACTTAAGAATCAGTTTTTACCCTTACCTACCTTTGATAGTGTGATCCTGAATACGCTTCATGTCTTTGATGATTAGTACGTTCACTATCTGAACCTCTATAACTCAGCTGTCCCAACAGTTTGATTGACATTTTAACTTTCTCTCCATTATGCTCACATCTGGTACCGAACATTTCAGCCAGTTTGTTTTCTGACTACAGTTGGATAGAAAACAAGTCAAGGTTTTATGTATCAATTGAAAACAGCTGCACAGTTTTGTAAAAAATGTTATAACCGTGTTACTTTATTCCACTTGAAGAATGAACATTCTCTTCAGAAAACATTAACTTTCATTTCTGATCATGATTCTTCTGCTATCACAGAAACGCCTCCCAGCTGAAGCAGCTGCAGGACCAGATTCTATTGGAGCAGCAGGAAGCGGCTAACTGGCAGCAGCAACTAGACCAGCACAACCAGGAAGCCCCGCCTCCTCCTCAGCAACCGCCTCAGGAAGAGCTTCCACCTGCTCCCCCGTCTCCACCTCTCCCCCCTCCTCCTTCCTTCCAGGAGCTGGAAAGCAACACGACCATGCAGGCCAGCACCTTCAACTACGCCCGGCCCAAGCAGTTCATCGCCGCTCAAAGCCCCGGGATCGGATCCGGCTACATCACCCAGTCCTCTGGCTCCTCAGGGTCCAGCCTGTCCTCCCCTCTGTCTCCCCCCGCCTCTCACAAGTCCTTCAGCAGGGTCCCCATGCCCCCCTTCACCAAGGCCGGAAGTGTGGAGTCTCCCAGCTCCCCTTCATTCCCGCCTCCACCTCCACCCTTCCTCAGCTCCAGTAACCTGCCCTCTCCATCGGGCCCAGCTCAAGACTTCCCTCCCCCTCCCCCTCCTCCCCCTCTGCCCGTCTCCATGTCTCCAGCGTACTCAGATATGTCCTCGCCCTTCTCCTCTGTCCCTCCATCTCCCGCCTCCAGCTTCCTGTCCTCAGTGCTGCCCTCCACACCCTCCACACCTGGCAGTCCCATAGTCAACGCCCTCGGCCTCCCTAAAGGCAACGGGACTGTGTGAGTACCCCTCGTTGCACTTTTTTCTAATTCTTAACAATCACTGTCAAGTTACATCATCTTTGTAAGTTTTGTTGTTACACGGTGAGCTTCGGAGCTCCTCGTCAGATAAACCCGCTGGCAGCCGCAGGCGGGATGTCTGCAAGATGGAAGATGACGTGTTTACATTTTTATGCAGAATGTTTACTGGAAAGAGGAGAATGTTTAAACACACACATACCCACACACATAGACACAAGGGGTTCTCATGGTGCAGGGGCTTTATCCTACATAAGGCACAAAAAATATACACATGGACCTGAGAGAGAAAGGTGTGTCAAATTCAAATAAACACTCAGATTCCTTATCGTAGTTTATGTACCGGCTGTCAGGTTTCATCTTTGTTCTTTGATGACATGCAGGGTAACTATATTTTGGGCATTACATATCAAGTCAGCTAATAGAAATCTCTTCATTTGATGGTGATCTTGAAAGGAGAAATTCACCTTTTTTTCCTTCATCAAGGACATTCCACTCTCAACTCTGCCAGTGATTTTTCAGCAGCCCCTCACTAACTCACTCCCGCCCCCCCCCCCCCTCTCATCCTGGCATTCCTGCTGCAGTTGCAAGAGATAAGAAGACACGTTGTGGAATGCTATGGCTGGACATGTCCAGATAAGGGGGGGATATTAGGGGGGAGCCAGAGAAGAAAGAAGAGTTGAGATAAGGTGTTTGCGTCACAGATGTTGACAAATGTTTCTGTTTCTGTTCTTCCTTCTTTAGCAAAGCGTTCCCCAAGAAGTCCTCGGTCACCAGGACGCCTCGCATCTCATCCGACTCCGACATCCAGGGGTCCAAGGATGCCGTCATCCAGGACTTAGAGAGAAAGTTGCGCTTCAAAGAAGAGCGCATGAGCAATGGTCAACAGGTGTGTGTGTGTCATTGTTTGTTCTAGGCTTATGACTCTACTGAAACCAGCGTGTGTATGGAGGCAGTTAGATAATGAGTGTTATTAACACAAAAACCTTTCATGAAACAGTTTAACTTTCCATAAAAGTGTCATTAAACATGCTTTTGTGCAATGCATGCTCAAATAAGTTAATGTTTTCTCCATAAAATAATGAAAACACTTATAAACAAAAAACACTTAGATACAGAACTTAGCTAATAATGTGTGTCAGTGTGGGTTTTTGCAACTCACACACTAACCCCATTAGCTGACCCCAATAATCCCTGCTTCCAGAGGTTAACCTATGAGGAGAAGATGGCTCGCAGACTGCTGGGTGCTGACAACGCCGCCACAGTCTTAAACACACAGGAGACAGAGGAGGAGCCGGTCACACAGGTACGCTGGCTCTTTACGAGGATCCACACACCTGGAGGTGGATAAATCAAACACAGAAACACCCACCTGATTTATTTTCCAACACAAATCACACTCTGTTGCATGTACACAAAATCCATAGGCACCGTTTCTGTTTGTTCACTTTCCCCCAGTGTCATTCCTATCTCATGACTTCTCACTTTATTTTATATGCTGATGGATCAGAGCACACCCCCCACCCCCCTCAGTCCCTGTAAACACCGTGGAAGAGCGAGTTATGAAAGCTGGGGTATAAACATTGTAAAGTCCTCCAGAGGCCTCCATAAAAAGCTCTGTTTATGCAAACCAGTGTCGCAGCAGACGTGCTGGGGAGTAACAACATTTGAAGGCATGTGTGGCTCATTTGTCTGACTCTGAACCACAAGAAAGTTCTGTGAAAGTGTCAGAGTGTCACACCACCACACAGTGTTTGTTGTTTATTCACAGCAGAACAGAACCAGCATTTTTCTTATTCATTTTTCTTTTTATACTTGTCTAAGTTGGTAATATTTAAGGCTGGGAATGGCAGCATTTTTGTGATTTATATTGACATTTATCTTGAGCTATAACTTGATCATTCTTCTGGTTTAAAATGTATCTTAATATTGACACAAACCTGAGGAAAGACTTTAGACTGCACATTCATTTGCTGTTGTTGCATTTATTTCTGATGGACTTTTAAATCTATGCATAGCCAGTTAGATAAATGAATAAGTCAAATTTTTCAAATGAGGCCTAAACAGACAGATCCCTGTACACACAACAGTACGAGAAACACGATGGCTCATCGTCCATCAACAGAGAGTTCAAACTCTTGACTAAAGCAACCTCCTCACAGCTGCAGTGAAATGAACAGACAAGCGCACGAGTTGTGTTCAAATGGTCTCGTAAAATAGAGTTAGCATTTTACCATCCCAGTGTGATGCAGCCTGTTGGCATGAGGAGCAATCTAATTGGCTATGGCACTGCAGCACAGCAAGACTTTTAAGTACACCCCAATCAATGCCACTTTTTCAGTCCCTTGCCTCTTGCATGTGCTTTTAAAAATGTCTTTTTTGACTGCAGGTAAGATGCAACACACACAGAAACACGCTTTTCCTTTTTTAAGCTCTTCATTCTGAGAGGATGACTTGTTGATTTCACTTTCAGATTATGGGATGCTTTTCCTCAAAACCCTGCCATTCAACTCATAGGGTCCCTGCTTGGGCTTGCATTTGTTCTGCTTGTGCTCAAACAGTGATCCTAGACTCAGATTAAGATCGTTACTTGCACAGATTTTTGTCTGGCTCCAGGTTCGGCCTGTCTCCCTGGACTCAGTCTACATGTCTGCTGAGCAAATCTGCAGGGACATTATTTTTTAGTGTGCAGTGAAGGGTTTGAGTCAAAGCATTACAAATTGTGATTGTGAAATAATTAGGAAATGTTCAGAGATTGAAAGAAGCACCTCTTGGATAAGATAGTAACACCCATACAAATCAAAGGCAAAACACTTTTTTCTCTCAACAGGAATACATGCCGTCTGAAAGACAATCTTTCCCTCAAAAGGTTTCTGAGATCCTGTTTTCTGTTACCTTCTTGGTTTCTCATTCACTCTGTTTAAAAACGTCACTGTGTTTGAGTGTGTGGGAATTAGCTGATAAGGGAACAAAAGGCAGCGATACGGGTTTGCTGTGTAGTCCATTCTCAGGCAAGTGTGTCTGGTAAACACTGCAAAAACAGGCTGACACTAACTGAGCATGTGTAAAAACTTGTTGCACCTTTTATAGTTTTTTGTTGCATGTGTTGAAGTTGGTTTGAGTTGGCTTGGATACTAAATCATGCTCAAAGCTTGATTGCAACACAAGCATGTTTGGCTTTCCCTAGATTATGCTTTCATCACGCATCACACGCAGCAATGTTTCTCTGAATTTGAGATTTAAGCAGCAGAAAGAAAAGAAGATGAATATAATAATACTTTGTATCATTTTTAAAAAAGGCATCTTGCCGCTGCAGCTGGCTTGGTTTCTCTGACAGGATAATCCCTCAGTAGATCTGGATGAGCCACTTCTGTGATCGCTGACGTGCAGCAGAGTGAGTTTAGCAGGATAAATGCTGGTTCTGCAGCTGTGCCCCGAGGCCCTGTCATTATCTGTGTGATGTGTCATCAGACCACGATGCTCCGCAGATGTTCCCTCTGCCTCAGTGGGGCTGCTGTGACGAGAGATTGATGGAGTTGGTGGGATGGAGGAGTGGCTCATCTGGGCAAGAGAAAAGTGGGAAATTGGGAGAAAGCAGGTAGTTAGGGTCACAATGAAGACAGGTTAATGTGTGTGTGTAAAAGATCAAGCAGGGGGAAACAGGGTTTATTGATTGTTTTCTGCACGCTCTTAAATATGCTTGCCTTTGCCACGTTGAGCCCACAATCTTAATGTGATGTATTTCAACGTCTCTCTCCTCTTCTCTCTCTCTTGCTGGTTATGTAGGAATATAAAGTTTCCAGCTTCGAGCAGCGACTGATCAGTGAGATTGAGTTCCGTCTGGAGCGCTCTCCAGTGGAGGAATCGGACGACGACGTTCAGCACGATGAAGACTCTGTCAGCCGCGGGGTGGCGCCGTCCTTCGACCAGAAGCTCAAACACTACAAAGTCTTCGAGGGAATGCCGGTCACCTTCTCTTGCAAGGTCCACGGAGACCCCAAGCCAAAGGTGGGAGGTTATGCATATTGCTTATATTTAATGTCATCACCCTGATTGATGATTACACTATGTCCTAATTATTTTGAGATAAGATATTTGAGGCATTTCTGATGGCTTGGCTCGCTTGCTTGGGAGTTTCCTGATGTGTGAAATTGATGAAGGAGGGTGCAGATATTGTACGTGTGCTCTGTGTTGTGATAAGGGAGGCCCATTGCAAGAACACACACTGGACTGGGCTGACTGCCTGGTTCTGTCCACATTAATGACATGGTGATGACAGGCTGCAGAACAAACTGATGAAATGAAAGAAAAGGAGAGATTGCAGTGAGAGGGGAAGCACAAAAACTGATATTTTCTTACAGTTTTAGGCGGTTAAAGCAAGTTGTTTTCTCCTGTTATTCTTAGATATTAGCATAATTACAGCCTGTTATCATACCTTGTTGAATGGTTTTTAAATGTTCTTTCTCACCTTGTGCCACAGGTGTACTGGTTTAAAGACGGTAAGCAAATCTCTAAGAGGAGCGAGCACTACAGGATCAGTCGAGACGCTGATGGAACCTGCTTTCTGCATACTGCCGCTGCCTCGTTGGATGATGACGGCAACTACACCATCATGGCAGGCAACCCTGAGGTTAGTGGAAATCAGCTTTGAAATTCTGTGCACCTTTCCGGGGGAAAAAAAAGTGTGCACATGTCTGACAGAGCACCATTAGCGAGAAAATAATGAGCATCAAAGATATTGTCTCCAGCTTAAAGAGGAAGAGGGCGTTGAATGAGACAGGAAATCACTAAAGCCCGTATGAGTGTCAAAAGTTCATGTGCTACAGGCTTTTCTTGCAGTCTTTTCAGCTCCAACACTCACATTGTAATTCCTCCTCTCTGACTAGTACTTGTGGTGTGCTGGTGTGTCAACACCTCATAAGCTCCCCTCTCTTCATGTCCCTCTCTTCCTTTCATTCACAGGGCAGGGTGAGCTGCACCGGCAGGATGATGGTCCAGGCTGTGAACCAGCGAGGCCGAAGCCAACGCTCTGCCCCTGGACACATGCGCAGGTGAGGCTTCCCCTAACTGACAGAGGAGGGAGAGGAAAGACAAACAAGATCTCTTGTTGATTTAATTACGGTACAACCTGGAGCTGCAGGCTGGCTAACACATGTGCTGCATGCTGTTCAACATCTGCACAACTTCTGTACTAACACCGATTTGAAACTGCATTATCCTGACGTAAGATGTTCCAAGAAGCTGCTATTTACACAAATATTTGCTGTGAGCTGAACCGCAGTTCCTTTGTTGAATGTTCTGCTCAGGAAAGAAAGCTCAGTGTTAATGAGAGGGAACACCTGTTTGCTCTGTTCTGTTTTTTCATTGCTCTAATCACCCTGTATATACGCTGTGCATTCATCCAAGCCCAAGATATTGAAAAGAAGCACAGAGGCCTCACAGTCTCTCCTCAGAGCGCATACAAAAAAACACCTGTAGTCTGTTATCTAGATGAACACTCCCTCAGCTCAGAGATGTTTTGAGGTGAGATTTAGATAACAATCAGTGTCTCCACGCTGTCCTTCTTCTCCCTCCTCGGTTGACTTGTAGAAAATCAAGTTGTGGTTATGTCATTGTAACGGGGCAGAGTCACACCTGTGGATCCTGACCTGCTGTGCAGGGTTGAATGGGAGTAATAGATTAAAAAAGGACAAGGGTAAAGAGTCAATTGCAGGTTAAAGGATAAATAAAAGCCCTGAATGTGCACAATTTGTCCATTAAAGAGGGAATATGTGAAATATACATTATATAGACATATGCATAGAAATAAAGGAGTTAAAAGAGTTCTGCACTAATAGATTTAAACCAAAATGATTTGGGCAAATAAGACACATCTCAAAACTGGAAGGTTCCTACAGTATGTAATAAGTATGTGCAAACTGTTTACATTTATATTTAGTTCTTTTATGATTACACCTGTGGTGGCAGGTTTATGTGTTGGCAGAGTCCAAAGTGTTTCCCAGTGAGAATAATGGAAGATTTTTCTTCTTTCCTATCATATCGTATTATATCTCATTGTAACAAAATGCAAGTTTTGTTTTTCATACTACTGTCATACTACCATAATTTAAATGAGTTACAAATTGCCCAAAAATGTTTTTTTTAAAGAACTCCCAAAGTCAACCTCAAATTCCAAATTCTAAGCGTTCCTTTTTCTCTGTCAGGCCCAGATCCAGATCTAGAGACAGTGGTGACGAGAACGATAACATCCAGGAGCGTCACTTCCGTCCTCACTTCCTGCAGGCGCCCGGTGACCTCATCGTTCAGGAGGGACGACTGTGCCGGATGGACTGCAAGGTAAATTCACAGCTTTTTGCTCTGGAGAAGAGTGCAAACGGTGCAGACACTGATGAACATTGTGAAGTCATTAAAAGTCATTTTGTGGTGGCTGCTGCAGCAGATTCCATAAAGAAATGTTACTTCTGAATATGTCTTACAGTTTTTAAAGCCCATCCTTACTAAAGGACATTTTTGTAACTTAAAAAGGACAAATACACTTTAAAACAGTCGTTAAAAGTTTGAAGTCCACCTTGAAATCCTAAAAGAAAGTCGGGGGGTTATCGAAAAAGGAAAAATGCATTGGGATAAATAGCTAAAATTTCCAAAAGGGTAAAGGGTTGAGTTGCTAGACACTACAATGATACATTTAATTATGGATAACACAATAAGAACAATGTAAAGATTAGAAGTTTAAGCAACTACAATAAATGTTTAGCAATTACACCTTTCAGTTGAGTTAAAAAAAAGATATAATGGGTTTTTAAAGAAAGTTTGCTGATGTTTTCTGGAGGAATGAATAGAATTTGCAATGAAAAATAAAGGAGAGAGTCATCAGCATACAGATGTGAAATACAACAAAATGTAGGATATAATCTAATACAATGTAATCAGATGTTTAAAAGTGGAATGAGCTATAAGCAACCACCGCTGTGAGTGCCTTTGCTTCTTCCGTTGTGCATGTGAACACAGTATTCAATCCTTACTGCTTTTTCTTTGATAAAGGATCGAGGCAGAGTTGGTTTAAGGTTTTTAACTGAGACATGACTGGAAATGAAACTGCCTGCACCAAAGAATATATGTTAATCATAGTTATAGAGAGAGCCGTTTCAGATCTGCCCTTTAATTCAGTGTTTATGTTGCATTCTGGGAGGCTCCATGTCTGCACTGCCAAAGAAACATTTTCCCTTTACACGCAATCCAGTTTCTTCAGGGAATAAAAAATAAATGTTTCATCACTTCCTACCTCGTGTAATGAGCGGCTCAAAGTGCACAGGGAGACTTCAGAGGCGTCATCTTACAGGGATTAAGTAGGATCAAGTTTTTCAACGATTATTCCCTCTCCGATCTCTCGGCTCATTTTCTCTCTTTATCTTCTTCGTCGTCACCCTGTCGACGCCTCTAGCTCGTAGAATCCCTTTGAAAACTGGTAAATGCAATAAAATAGAACCCACCCACAATTAACCAACTATAAAAAGACGGCCTATTTTGATGCTAGTCAGAAATAAACTGGGAGTCTCGATTCCTTTAGAACCCTTAACATCAAAGATATTTATAACAACTCTTTATTTCCAGATCATTTAGGGTGCTTTGCTAACTTTCCATGCTGAAAATATCCCAAGTTCTAAAAATGTACTGGGCAGCTTCCAGAAATACTTTTCACTGTTTTGTCTACTTTGTGATAACTATGAATACGGTTGTTTGTCTGCACATTTGCATGTCCAAGGTGGCACATTTTCCAGCTGGGCAGGGAGGAGCAGGTGTTGGGTTTCTCACATAGAGAGAGATTCCTTTTTTTTATTGTTTCTTTGTGCAGTTTATTCCCATGACAAAGTATGCAGGAGACCTGGTTCCCTCCGGGCAAACACAACACAGACAGATTAACCAAACACTTTTGTTTGTGTTCTCCCAGTAGATACACACATGCCGCTAATATTCTCAAATACTCCAACAAAAACAAGCATGGCATGCGCTAAAGTAAGCTTTTACATATTCAGCTAATTTTAACATTTTTGTGTTCTTTAGGTGAGCGGCCTGCCCACTCCTGATCTCATCTGGCAACTGAATGGACAGACCATTCGCCCAGACTCCGCCCACAAGATGCTGGTGAGGGAAAACGGTGTGCACTCATTGGTCATTGAGCCTGTGACCAGCCGTGATGCAGGCATTTACACCTGCATCGCAAGCAACCGAGCCGGGCAGAACTCCTTCAACCTGGAACTCATTGTTGCAGGTATGCCAAAACACACAGTCAGGCAGAGGATTTGTGTTTGCATGATTTGGATCAAGATAACAACTCAATAAACAACCTGTCTCCACAGCCAAAGAGATGCACAAAGCCCCTTCATTTGTGGAGAAGCTGCAGAACACAAGTGTGGCCGAAGGTCATCCTGTACGACTCGAGTGTCGGGTCACAGGTGTTCCCTATCCCCAAATCTTCTGGAAAAGGGAGAATGAGTCGTTCACTCACAACACAGACAGAGTCAGGTAAATACAAAGTGGAAACAAGACGAATCACCTTTTTTTTTTTTTACAAGATTCAAGACATTCAACGTTGAAAAAAGACAGAAAATAATCACTTTGCCTTTTAATGTTTGTCAATTTTCTTACCCAGCATGCACCAGGACAACTGTGGCTACCTGTGTATGATCATCCAGCCGGCCATGAAAGAAGACGCCGGCTGGTACACGGTGTCAGCCAAGAATGACGCAGGCATCGTGTCCAGCACCGCACGCCTCGATGTCCACAGTAAGTTCTGACTCTAAAACACTTTGTTGTGAAAAGTAAAACATTAAACTGCTGCGTACTTCCTCTACATGAAGATGGTTCTCAACTTTCTGAGATGAATGCTTGTTTTTTGAAGAAGCCCAATTTCATTTCTTGTACGAGATTAAATCAGGATTACTTATTTTACTTACCATACGCTTTGTGCACTTTTCTTTGTGAATCTCAGAGCTTATGACCTTATTTCAAGAAGATTGCAGTCGTATTCAGTGCTATATTATCGCACAGTTTCCAGTAAGAGAGGAAATGATGCCTAATTCATTATATTGTATTCGACAAATCTAAGAGTGTTAACGCCTTTATTTGAAAGATCTCTGACAGAAGAAAGGTCCTCTAAAAAACATGGAAACTCCTGTTTTCTCTTTCTGTTGGCTGATAATTTTGCTTTTTATGTTTATTTTTAGTTCATTCTTTCTTTAAGGGTTTACTTTTGAATCAAGCCTGTGTGTGTGTGTGTGTGTGTGTGTGTGTGTGCTCACTTTATGAACTCCTTCTGCTTCCACCCTCAGCTCAGTGGCAGCAGCCCAACCTCCCAAAGCCCAAGAAGGTGCGTCCCTCCACCAGCCGCTACGCCGCCCTGACAGAGAGAGGCCTGGACGTGAAGGCGGCCTTTTTCCCAGACTCCAGCCCACTGCCCGGCGGCCTGGTGGAAAGTGACGACCTGTAGAGACCACAAGATGGCACGAGTTGGGATGCTGTCCCCGCAGAAAACGCCTGAATGCTGCCCAACAACTCCAGCACTCCTGAGACAAAAAATAACATCAAACTAAAGGACTCAGAACTTAAGGGTGGGCAAAAGTGAGCCGGTGCAGCTGTGGTTTTCATATGTTTTTATCCTCTGACACAACCCATTATATCACAGAATCATCATCAAGTTGTTTCTGCAAGCTTCATTTTATCAACTGGACCTGAGAAGTGATTGACGAGGGAAGACTGCTCGAAAAATACAAACTCTCATGAGACTCTGTTTTGCAAAGGGTTGTCTCTTTAAGTGCCTTTCATGTCTGTAAAGATTTCAAGAAAACAGGTTTAGCAATAAAACATAAAAATGACTTTGCATGTTTAAGTGGTGCCATTTGAAATACACAGATTAAAGCTGTATCTATATGTAGAAACTTGTTCCAGCAACTTTTAAAGGAGACTGAATGACTGAAAGCATGGTGGCTTTGACGAAGGAGAACACACACTTGTGTCATTATGTGGGCTTGTTTAGCACAGTGCTGATATCTACAGTATCTGACTGTAGTTGTCATAGGTTAGCTGACAGATTGTGGAAAAGGCCGGGCCTTCAGTTAAGTTTTTTTTTTTAAAGGAAAAGAAACAAGGTTTGGGAAAAAGAGCGCTCAAACAGGAATAGATTTTGTGGGGGATGAAGAGGTTGAAAGGAAAAAAAAAATGTTTCTACCTGGGCCTTTATTACATATTTTGGCTTCTAAATGACAGACACATTTGTATTGCTCCTTTATATTTTGTATGTATTAGAAAGTTAGACCCAAAATATGCAATAACAGGCCCAGTTTGAGTTTGAATTTCAATTTCCCTTTAAGGAAAGTCCGATCAATCTGACACAGGGAGGTGAAGTGACAGAGAAAAGCAGGTTTTTTGTGATGGATTGACTTAAAGGTTGGTGAGGAAACACTTAATTTAGGGATGCGAGTGTCTGTGGCAGTGGTGAGGATGACAGTTTCAATAACCTTGGTGATGTTGGGTCATTTTCGCATTTTCTTTTTTTCTTTTCTGTGACGGTTTTATTTTCAAAGTGTGAATAGAAATGTTCTCACTGGAGAGAGAGAGAGGGTGCTGTGAAAGGTTTCAGTGCTGTAATCACACAGACGTCACAGTTTTGTCCATTTTATTTTTGTATGAAAGAAAAGACTCAACCAGCAATCATGACATAAATTATATAACAGCAACCATTTGTCTCACTGATAAAACAATCTTCTCTGTATTAAGCTTTATAAATATATTCACAGCCTTAATCCTCTTTAGGTTCAATGCAAACACAGTTTTCTTTGCATGTTATTTTTGGACACTTGTACAGTGCCAAACAGGATGTATAAAACACAACATGACTCTTTCTTTAAGCCAGTGAAAAGTTTAAAAAACAAGGTATATTTATATCTAATATTTTCATCACCTTTGTAACAGTATACAGAATGGACATCTTTTCTCTTGTCTCGCATCGGCTGACAGTTTCTGTGTTTGCACATTTCTATGCCAATCAATGCCTGTATATGGATTGTTCTCCTGATATTATTTTAGGTTATGAAAGTTAATAAAGCTCTTCAGAGACAGTGACGTGTTTTTACAGACTGGCAGGCTCTTCCTAAAACAATAAGAAGATGCCAAAAATCACTCTCATCAGTCACAGTGGAAATAACACTCTCGCTAAGAATATTATTTGGAGAAAGATGCGAACCCCCCTCCTTTAAAAGAAAATAAACCATATATAGGATATGATATATGAGAGCACATAAAAGAGAAAATAAAGTTGTTCTTTTTTTTTTAGATGGTCACAGCATGTTTCAATGAAAGGAGCAAAAAACGCAGCATTTCTTATCTCGACGCTGGGTATGACCATGTCCATCCACACCACAGGTCCACAGATGTAACCAGACACTCAAAACATTCCCAAGCTAAAAATACCCCCCCCACCCCAACAACCTCCACCACTACTCCTAATTTCCTCCAGCTGCAGCCAAGCACGCCAGCCCCACGACAGGCCCCTCCAGAGGTGGGCCGAGGGGGCCGATGGTGGAGGGGGGAAACGTGCTGTCAGTGAGAGGGGATCTCCCAGGGGAGATGAGGGGGAGGGGGGGGGTGCGCTTTACAGTCATGGAAAAAGACCAACTGATCAAATTTAGGGGCTCAGGACACAGAGGTCCGGACTGGGCCAGACACTCTGGAGTCAGCAGTGTTTAGTCATGTCCCGCTGTCACACACACACACACGTCAGGCCTCGACTAATGTGGTGGGACAGAGTGACTCAGCAGAACGACAGGGAGCATCAGGACAGATGTGGACAACCAGAAACTATGTAAAGACTTTGTTTACTCTTTGTGTTTACAGGAAGAGCTTTGACAAGAAAACAGCTGATTTAAATACTAAATCCAATCACACACAGATATTACTCTGAATCAGCCACAGAGCCCGCCATGAGGCGTCTCTGAAGGGGAATTTATGTATTTTGAAACTTGCCTCTATTTGTACACAATTTATTTTAGGGTTTAAACAAGTAATAGGTTCAATAGGTTTTGAACTAGCTTCAATAGAAATCCTTGGGGGTCCAAATCAAAGAATGTCCACTAAAATATCTAGTTTTTTCTCAGATTGTTATTCTGTGCCCGTATTAAACATCAAAAAAGAAAAGGAAAAACACAGAAAGATAGGCCGTTAAAAATGCACTTGATGTTTTTATTTGTAAATACATTATATTACGTTCTTTAACATCCCCAAACAACATTGACAAAAACTGGAGTTACTGGTCTACAACTGCCGAGATCAGTGAGCCTGTGGGTATTACTGTGTGAATTTGGTGTTTTAAAGTGAGTTTGGATCCAAATCTATATACTATATTCACAAGGTGGTGCAGTGGTTAGTGCTGTCGCCTCACAGCAAGAGTGTGTATCCCCCGTCAGACATGGTCTTTCTGTGTGGAGTATGCATGTTGTCCCTGTGCATGCGTTGGTTCCCTCCGGTTTCTCAGGTTCCCCCTCCCACAGTCAAAAGACATGCTTCTTAGTTTAACTAGTGACTCTAAATTACCTGTAGGTGTAACTGTTAATATGTCTCAGTAGGTCAGCCCTGTTATTGAGAGGTGACTAGACCAGGGTGTACCCCACCTCTTTTCCTATGACAGTTGGGATTGGCTCCCTGAACGGGACAACAGTATAGATATTGGATGGACAATACCACAAAAAAAAAACTGGTCAATCACTGAAGCAACAGAGTAGCAACTCATGAGTTTTGCCGGAAAAAGATTCTGTTTTGTCAATGGAGTCTGGTGGCTTTTACTGAAGTTACTCTTTGACAAAAAGTTGTACCAATTTGTCTCTCCTCTTTGGAGGTCATACTCCAGCTCTTTTTGAGGCAGAACCTTGACAAAGTGCATGTGCCCCTCAACATAATAGTGTGAACTCCAGGTTGGGGCGATCATCGGTGATGATTCATTAAGACCCCAACATGTGTCACCAAAGGGCAGAGGTCTAAAAACAAGTGCCCTGTTTTGATGAGTCAGAAGCTTGACCCTTAACGATAACAGAAACAGCTGACAAATGTTCCAGAAAAGGCAGAGTGAAGCTTTACCAGCCTCACATTTTATCTAAGTGTTGAGATAACTCCAGAGTAAAGCCTCGGTCCCTACATGGCCAGCTGCAGTCCTCCGTCCACCACCAGCACCTGTCCTGTAATGTATGAAGACTCCAAAAGGAAGAGGACCGCCTGAGCGACCTCCTCCGGCTCGCCAAATCTCCCCAGAGGGATCGAGCGTGCTCCGTCCTCCTCCTTCAGGCCCGAGGTCATGTCAGTGCGGATGAAACCTGGAGCGAGAGAGAGAGGGCAGGGACATAAGAAGGACGATATATAAAACTGAAAAATACATTTTTGAGATGGAGGGTGGAGTAAGCACATGCACTGTACCTGGAGCCAGCAGGTTCACTCTGATGTTACGAGAAGCGACTTCTTTAGCCAGAGAGCGAGTGAAGCCCTCTAAACCAGCTTTACTGGCACTGTACACAGACTGACCAGCGTTCCCTTTCAGGCCCACAACAGAGCCTACAAACACAGACACATCCATTCAGACCACTCAGCAAATAAAACACTGGCAGGTAGGACGCTACAGTCTGAAACCCTTATTATCAAAAGATCAATATATGAACACACATGGATATCATATATAAGGAAACAAATCACATTATCCCTTTCTTTAGTTTTCGTCACCCACTGGTTTTTGGTCACAAGGACTGTAACCAAAACAAAATCATTGAAACTATCAGTTATCATCTTAAAAATGCATAGTATGTCTATTAATAATATAAGTAATCAAATGTTGTTGTTTTTACATTAAAAAAGTCACTTACTCTTTTAGTGAATCCAAAAGAAGGAAACAATGATGTACACTGCCATCTAGTGACCAAACTAAAATCAACCCCCTCATCACAAAGAGCTTCTGATTTCAGAGCCATCAGTACCTATATTAACAACCGCCGCGCCGCGTGTGTGCAGCATGCTGCGCAGTGCCGCCCTGCAGGTCAACATGGAGCCCAGCAGGTTTGTGTGCAGCAGAGCCAGCATGTCCTCCGGCCTGCTCCTCAGTAACAGAGCATCCCTGATCAATCAAACACAAACAGGCACAGTCAAATATTAAACCATAATGTTCAGTCCTGTATATAAAACATGTATGACACATACCTGTTGATGCCAGCCGCGTTCACGAGATAAGAGATGTTTCCGCAGGTCTTCTGGATCGTCTCAAAGGTTTTCTGCACCTCTTGCTCTTTGGAGACATCACAGCCGAGAGCCACATGGTCGGCTGGAGAGAGCGAACAAGAATACATTGTATAGTAACAGCTGCAGGTAAACAAGGTCTACATGTATTCTCTTTTTGATACAGTGTTGCATCTGAAATTTACAGAAGCTCCACCACTGAAAAGTTCCTGTGACAGTTTTTAGCTAGTCTTGAAATCGACTTTTTAAAAATGAAAGGACTTTGAAAATCAAACATCAAGTGAGACAATTTCTATTTAGTCATTATGAATGACTGAAACCAGAGTTAGAGGGTCTGTGTTAGACTAAGTAATTAACTGAATGATGCCAAATGAGCATTTTTTTATTTATTTAATTTTAGAAGGCAAAGATTCAAAGAATGATAGACTTCAATGTTAAAGAACGAAGGATGAGATTCATTGTTTAATAAAACAACACTATGTTTAAATACTCAGGTCAAAATCAGCAAAGAGATACGAGGTGTCACTTTGTCTGCAGGGGTCGCTGAAAGTTCCTCACAGGAGCTTTAAATATATTCCAGAGACCCCCGTTTTTTGTTTTCTGTTGCTGAAGTCCACTACTTCCTTGTTTCTATCTTTCTCTAAATGCTTTTTTTATTCTGCTGTTGCTTTAGATGTGATATGTTTTAATTAAAAAAAAAAAACTATGTTTAAATTTCGGGCAGTCTGACAACTGTACCTCAGTAACAGACTTTGGTAAACTCCTGTCATTTTAAAAATCTGCTCTGTAAATAGACTTACTTTATGTGACGGACTTTTGAAGACCAAAGAACATGATCGATGTGTGTAACTGACAAAAAACTGACGCTCTTAGATTTCATTATATAGTGAAATTTAACCATTTATTTAACTTCATCTGGCTTTTCAAAGTAAAATGTGTTTGTGGGGGTATCAACTAGTTAGTAATGTATCTGACTTGACTTCCATGTTTTTTAAAGGTTTGCTTTTGGGCTTTTTGCCTTTATTTAGAGATAGGACAGTGAGTCTGAAATCAGGGAGAGAGAGTGAGGGGAAAGTAACCAGAGGTCGGAGCCGAATCCAGACAGCCGACTTGGAGGATTACAGCCACTGAACAAGGGGTGTGCACATTAATAATTTTTCCACCAGTGCCCCACTTTACTGACAAGGTTAAACAAAAACATAAAACACCAACAATAACACAGACAGTGTTAGTACAGCTGATGATTGGAGAGAGAGAGAGAGAGAGAGAGAGAGAGAGAGAGGGGAGCACTGACACAATAATCATTTACCTCCATGTAAAGATGCCAGCGCAGCCCTGGCAGCATCTTCATTCCTGGAAACGACAGCCACCCTGCAGCCCCTCTCTGCCAACAGGCGGGACACAGCCCCCCCGATGCCTCTGGAGCCCCCACACACCACCGCCAGCCGGGACATGATGGACACCTCACTGTAGGAGAGCACAGCAGCCCATTGGCATAGGACTACACCCGGGAGCGGTAGCAAAATGTCCAACATTTTCTGGTTCCAGTTTCTTTATTATGAGGATTTCCTGCTTTTCTTGGTCAATTTTAATGCTGAATAAAAGTCTTTGGACATTGAACTGTTAATAAGCTATTAAACAATGTCATTTTATTGGGTGCTAGGAATTTATTATTAGCAAATTTTCAAATACAACTGAAAAATGACAGTAACAATTTTTGACATTTTGCAGAAAAATAATGATAAACAACCCTATAATGTTTTTTTAATTAAAATATGTGAGGAGTTAAAACAAATGATGCTCATATAGTTTAATACAATTGGCAGATAGCTACAACAGGCCTAAAATTAATTATTTGTACCACAGTAGCACTAGAGTTAAAAAAAACCTCCTTAAAATATAGAAAGTAAAATTAGAGATGGATAAAATGCAACTTGATACTGATAAAAACAACACTTCTTGCGTATAGTAGCTATCGCAGGTGATATATATTTATTATACGTTGAGAATGTTAACATTTGTGTAGATCTATGTCACTGTTTACCGTATGAGTTTTCAAAAGAAGTATAAACTACTACGTTATAAAATATTTTGTGACTTTATAATCAAGATTTTGGTAAACCAATAATATTATTTTCATTATTTTTATAGTGTTATCATTAGGCCTACTGAAAAATAATTGTGATATTTTTCACCTTTCTATTGTGAAAAAAATAAAATAAATGTGCAACCCTTTTGAAACTACTGTGCTCCTGAATTAGCCTACCAAAATGTAGTTATAACAAAAAATCTTGTGCGCCGATGATAGTAACTTAATGTTTAGCCTACTTTTTGTGACTTTTTGTGGCTCTGTAAAACAGACATCATGATGTCCTATGTAAACATAGACCTATGTTTACTGTAGGTAGGAGCTGATAACATACTGTAGGCTACTTGAAACAAGACTGTCTAGCTTAAGGAAGCTTTTCTTATTAAAATATGTTGAAACTTATGATGGACTGATGAGAGCCTCGGTCATCTAAAGCTCTAAATAACACCTGCTGTGTTTATTAATGGATCAATTTTCAGTTCGGGAGATATTCACAGTCTTTCAAGTAGATAACAATGGTTTCCCTTCTTTAAGAAACTTACAATAACCGTAACTTACCTTCTTTTAAACTCTTGACTTCTTCAGACACAAACCTTGTTCTTCTGTACAGAGAAACATGTGAATGTCAGAGGAGCTTCTTCACAGGAGCTTCTGCTCATGGACGCCGCCATGTTTCTTTTCCCTTGTTGTTGCGCTGCCTGTCATCAGTCGGTAGAGGGCGCAGTAGTCACACAGCAGCACATAGAGGTCTGCTGATGTTTGTAGAGGAAGTTTATTATCCAGCTACTGCTGTATGTTTATTAGACATTGTTAAACTGTTATTATTTTAGAAGTCTTTTATACGGAAGATATTAATGAGAGAAAAACCTAGCTTAAGGAAACGTGTTGTTTGGTATATAGGAAAGAAATCTAAATGTCATTATAGCCCTTAGTTAATCTACTAGTATACTAAATGTTAACGTCACAGGAAGCAAACCATGCTTTAGTTGAGTGCCTTTAGTATGAGTAGGCTACAGACAAATTAAAAGTAGTCTATATTATGAAACGTGAATAGATTTCATACAGCACAAACTATAAGAAAAAAAGAAAAGAGTAAGAATATTCTCTACATGTTTTGTAATTGAACTTTTCTTTTTTCAGAACATTGAAAAAACAACAACAGAGAGCAGTGCAGGAGTGCCTCCATTTGTGTGAAACCTCCGAACAGGCAAAGTCCATGTTAATATGGACTTTAAAGACACAGTGAAATATCATTAAATAACTGTGATTTTATAACCACTAAAAAACTTTCAGACACTAACTATGTGCATAATCTTCTTTAATTAACAGCCTACAAAGCAGCACACTGAATAGTGAATTATAGAACTGCAGAGATCATGGCTATCACTATGTTTTATGTCTTTAATGACTTTATTGTACTCTATCAATAATCATTTAGTGCCTTTAAAATCCAGAACTGTATTAAGAATGCCCATATTTCACAGGATTAATTAGTTCTCTGTGTTAAGAAGATTAATTATTTATACTGGTGACCGCAGTGTCCTATCTTGCACACTGTAGCTCACTGATTGTTAATTGCAGTCATTTATTCTCGTGTTTTTCCTCATGCATCACTGTTCCCCATGGAAACATATTTCACATGCAGCAGATCTGTCACTGGTGTACAACACGGTGAGTGATGTTGATGTGAGTGGGTGGCCTCGGCCTGCACCTGGACGGTCCATCACACCGAGACATTCTGCAGGATTCATCCTCTGACCCTAAATCATATTCACAACCTGTGACACTGAGCCTGACAGTGTGAATCATATTCATGCTGCAGCAGAGAAATACAACAAACACAAACAATATTATTTGCATAAATTACTCAGTATCACATTGTTAATGATTCATCTTTGTCTGTGTGTGTGTGTGTGTGTGTGTCAGAGGAGGAAACAGAGCTTGATTTGTATTCAGATCACTTTCATGATCAATGAAACTGTATTACTGTCTTTCACACCTTCGTGATCTGATGATATTTGCCAAAAGAAGAACTGTGTTTTGCTGTCTCATGCCCTAACACACAAATAAGTGCATACACAGGTATGCACACAACACTGAACAGAGCGGTGCAAGTAATCACCCTATGACCTGGTGCATGCACGTACACACTCAGGCACACGATATTAACCTCTTTATCATTTCAGTGTTAAGAGATAACTCCAATATTTATTACCTACTTTGTGCACGCATTCACTGTTTAGTGCAGAGCATTGGATCAGACCTGCATGTCAAAACTTCAATGATTTTATTTTTAAAATTATATTCAGCTAGAACTATTTTACTCGTCTTTGAGGTTATTTTTGGAAGCAGTCACAAGTTGTTTATAACTGAATTAATTTCCTAAATGTAAATTGAAGTAAATGAAGAAGTCAATTGTACAATAAATCAGAAATGTGTATGATGATGAATATATTTTATTGGTCTTTATATTCCAATAATTATGTATTTTATATGTATTTCTGTTTATTATTCTAACTGTATACTTTTTAAATTGACCCACACGCAAGTTTTTATTTGAAAAATCTGGTATGTGCAGCCTATGCATGAACAATATGTACGATTAGAGAAGTTATAATAGTGCATAAATATGTAACATCTGAGTTGGAGTTAAGTTTGATGATTAAAGGCTTAACAGTGAAGTGAAAAGACACAGAGAGGAAAAGTTAAACACAGAGCCTGAGGTTGGTGTGGTGAAGACAACAATGAAACATATCAGGTTAATTCTATACAAGAATCAGGAAGACAAAAAAAAACAAAAAAAGGCCCTAACAGTGATTTGTACCATCCTCTCCCACACTCTCTCCATATGTCAAACAAACTACAATAGATTCCAGCAGTCAGTTACACAGTGGTCCCCCTCCATCAACAACAGGACTAAGAACTGTTTAAATCCCCCCTCAAACCTCAAAGGACTTGCTAAAGATCAGATGATTAAGTCACATTACATTAGGTGCCGTGGGGTCAGTTTATAATTTCATTTTTTCTCTTTGGAGACACTCAGAGCCCGACATGCATCAATACATTCTGACCTTAAAATTCCTGAACTTTGTTCAACCCTTGCAGCCACTAGCATTGACTTTCATCATGCACTTTATTGTCTTAAATTTACTCACATGCAGGTTTTTTTCTACTATCTATGATCAAAATCACTCACACTAGATGTGAAGCCAGACAGTATAAATAAATGTGATGTTTTATATAGACACATTATTAATTCAATATTTTTACTATTCTTGTGCAGTTTGTTCTAATGTTCAGACATTGAAATAACTTATTTCCATGGTAACCCATCCTCTGCAGGGAACTGTGTGCAGCACAATGACCTCTCTGGGTGCTTGTCAGTTCCTGTCAATGTTTCCCAGCTGAACACGCTGGGAAGGCTCACCTCTCGTTACAACCCCTCTGCTCGGCTGCAAGTCACAGGGGAAGCTCCTCTACAGCCAGAACCATTTATCAACATGTGTACCGTGACTAACCCCAAATACATTTAATGAGGAACAACTGTCGTTTATTGTTAATTTATCCTGTGTGTGCTTACTTTTATAGTCTAACTCCGTACCTTTGCGTTTTAGGCCATCCGAGCGCTTTGTGAAGAGAGAGAGAAGGGGGCACGGCAAGGACACGATTACTCAGTCCTGTCATCAGAGGTCTATGTCTTGGATACAACTGCTGGTTAGACAGTTCTGCCCTGGCTACAAATGACCAACATAACACAGAGTCACAGGAGAAAACAGAGGAACACAGAACATTTCATTACTGTCATGAAACAATGACTCAGCCTGAGGGAGTTATGGAAACCATTAGCTTTTATTGTTATAGCGATTTTAACAAAATGTGCTATTCCCTCAAATACTTCAGAATGTTTTTCACATAAGAGACTTGTGCCAAATAAGTTGATTTCAGTTTCACCATTTTCAGACGTACAACAGACTAACTACGGACACACACACAAAAAAAAAATCAAGTAAGTCACCTTGGCATGAGGAAAATCTGTTAAGATGAATCAGGCAAACTTCAGTCACCATCCGTCCCAATAAGAGAAAATATAATTAACGGTTAAAAAGGGAGCTCCAATGTTTTTTAATCTGGGCCTCATTTTCTTACACTTTTTGGTTTTAAATGACTCATGGGTTAAAAGATCTGAAATGACCCGAGTGGATTGCTTCATCATCCAGCTGTGAAACAGGCTGTAAGAACGCGTCTCAACCTTTGGGGGAAATATGACCTTAAAACATGTCCATGACATCACTTGTTTTTGCCATCAACAGTCTCACATCGTGCTTAATAATGTTTATATGTTTCTGGGAACATCATGAAGACCATCCATAAGATCTAAATAGACATTTTGTTGTAGAATAAAATGTTTTTTTTCTGAAACCAGAATCAATTATTACATCTCTCTCCTTCAAAGCCTCCAGACTGCCTTGACAAAAACTGTAAATCTACCTGGCATAACTCAGGAGTCGCTGGTCTGTGTCTGCCTTGAGAAGGAAGATTTTTGTGCTTGTGAGATTAAAAAGATATTGTGCTGTTTTTGTTGGAAACATTGAAACACAAAGAGTTTCACAAACAAATCACTGCAGCAGTAGATAAGCAACTCCCATGCTATGCAAGGTAAGATCACCGTATTTGTCAGTGAAGTCAGGTGTCTTTGAGGAGAGTGATGTTTCTGCCGTGTCTGGTTTAGAAAACAAGCATCTCACTCTTTATCAATGAAGTCTATTGATGGAGCGATGTTGTCAGACAGTTACAGTAACAATCAGTCTGTGAGATAACTAAAAACGTTTACACATTTTGATCAAAAGATTTGTTGCATCCCTTACAGCCTGTTTGACAGCGATTTGAAACAACCTACTTGAGCAATTGCACATTTTTTTGCACCTGTTTGTCATTAAGACCCCAAATTACTTAAACGAGGGTCCAGGTCAGAAAATACTGGAATTCCCTTTAAAAAAAAAAAAAAATGCTTCATGTTTTAAGATCTGTGCAGCCTATGCATGAACAATATGTACGATTACAAACGTTATAATAGTGCATAAATATGTAACATCTGAGTTGGAGTTAAGTTTGATGATTAAAGGCTTAACAGTGAAGTGAAAAGACACAGAGAGGAAAAGTTAAGCACAGAGCCTGAGGTTGGTGTGGTGATTGCCAAGACAACAATGAAACATATCAGGTTAATTCTATACAAGAACCAAATCAGGAAGACAAAAAAAAGGCCCTAACAGTGATTTGTACCATCCTCTCCCACACTCTCTCCATATGTCAAACAAACTACAATAGATTCCAGCAGTCAGTTACACAGTGGTCCCCCTCCATCAACAACAAAAGACTAAAACAAATGTTGAAACTATGGGTTCAATTCAGTCAGTAAGTTCATTCTCAAGCCACATTTGGAGGGTTTCGCCTCAACTTTAAAGGGTTTAAATCCCCCCCCTCAAACCTCAAAGGACTCGCTAAAGATCAGATGATTAAGTCACATTGCATTAAGTGTCGCGGGGTCAGTTTATAATTTCATTTTTTTTTTCTTTGGAGAATTTAATTCATTTATTTGATGTATCTTAAACATTACATAAAGAAAGGATAAATTATAAGTTTAGATATTTGATCTGTTTTTTTTATTCTCCACAGTATTAATTCTATTACTGCCTAATCTTTATGTTTAACAAGCACCAAAACTACAACCAAAACCCCCCTCCAACCACAAAGACATCTCACAGTAATTCAAGTCAATACAACACTTAAGATTGAGAAAAATTTGTATCGATGAAATGTACACCAAAACCCCCAAAACAAGAAAAACAAAATCAAGGGGCTTAAAGTGATTGATTTCAATAAAAAGCTTCTCTTTACACGACACATCTCTTCCTGTGGAGTGAAACGACGACATGTTCCTTTAGGCAAACATTCTGTGCTTTAGCTAGCCGTGTTTTTATTGCCACAAGTCACATTAGGAATGAGTTATAGAGTACAAAATACAAAAAACAGGTTCGTTTTTTCTGAGAGCAATAGCCGTCTACCTCTGTGGAATCAGTAAATAAACATAAATATACACCGATAGGGAATCTATTGTGCACTGTTGCTGAAATGTTTTGTCACTCTTGTGATGCAGAGCTACGTCTGGGTTCAGGAGAGAAACTACTCGGGTCAGTAAATACAAAGAAGGTACAAAGTAAGCAATATCTGACTGTGAAGTCTATCTCGGAGTGCGTTTTCCGCATATTAAAAAGGCGTAATCAAACAGTCCTGCAACACATCCATCCTCAATTCATCTCCCGCAGAAGGCTTCGCTACTCGCATGCAAATATTTGATCGCTGCAGGTAACAGTTTTTGGCACTTCAGCCTCAGACACAGCAGGAGAAACAAAAAGACTGGAGGCCCTTAGAGGCCAGGAGAGATATTTTGCTTTGTGTGCAATTTTCACATGATGTGAAGCAAGAGAGCATCAATTGTGCAAGACTGTAGATCAATGTAATGCTGTCAGGTCTGCAGAAGTATCAAGTGATGATGACACTGCTCAATTGTTTGATCTGCTGTATCTGATAGATCTTATATAGGGCTGGGCAATACGACCATCTCTCAGGGGGATCCCTTTATGTTCAAAGATTTGATCAATTTTGAGAAATTTACTAGATATGAAAACAGCCATGGTAGATTTTTGCAACATTTATCGACAGCTCTGCTCTCAGCCCCTTTCTTACTGTATGTCAGAAACGCTGACTATCATGTGGAACTGCTTTATAAGGTTGTTTTTTTAATAAGTTTATAAAATGTGAAAATGAAGGAGACCGCTGTGGATAAATTTGCTCTTGAACAATGAACAATACAAAAATGAAGGAAACCTTATCTAAAATCAGGCTAAGCTGATGTTAGCTGCAGCTCGGCTATTAGCCCCCACTTTAGAATTTTTGAGCTGCTTTTATTCTATGTTTAGACTTGTTTGTATTGACATTACTAGAACAAAGAATAATGTTGAAATGTTTATGAAAAACAAGAATATTCCTGAAACTGGCAGCGTTATCAAATTATCATGCTAAATATTTGTTGTTGTTTTTTTGTTTTTTTTTTTACAAAATGCCCAGCCCTATTCTACTCCTAGACTGAAATGATGGCAACGTGTTTTTTTTTTTTATCAGCAGTCAGAGGGAGAAAAGTACAACGACGAAATGGCATAAGGCATGTGCCAGCTTAACCCCTTAATGAGTTGCACCACCTACAAAAAGGCCAGTCTATGCAATAAGTTAAAATGCGTAATATATCTATATCGACAGCTCATACTGGTTGTTTTAGGACTAATCATCTTTGTGTCCTTATGTACAATAAAGTGAGGGACAGAACAAGGCACACATTTAACAGTTGAATTGTTACAAAGATATAAATAACCAACAAAAAAGGAAAAAGTTCATGAGTAGTGTGCCTTCCTCTAACTCTGTCCTTCTGTGCTTTCAATGCTAACATGTTCTGTTCTTCTGAGCAGCACTCTCTGCAAAAACGACGGCTCTTGTCCAGGCAGCCTCTCGAGTGCTGATGGGTTTGGTTTGTGCGATAACAAACTGTAGAGAGGTTAGCAGCAGTCAGTGGGGTCATAGTGAGTGTGACCGTGGTTCACTGTTGTCTGTTGTGAGTGTTAGATGCTGTCTACAAAGCTGCCAGGGAACAGTCCCGTCCTGCCATTCCTCTGCAGTGTGCCTTTGAACCAGCCGTCCTCCCTCTTCCTGTGAACAAACACAATGTCGCCCTCCTTAAGTTCCAGCTCGGCCTCGCTCTGGGGAGGATACGATACCACCACCCTGTACCTGGGGAGGACAGCCAGAGGCACAGTCACATACTGATACACACACTGCAACAATGCTCATTAAAGGTACCTGTAATGTGGATTTAAGCTAAGCAACACGAGTAAAGGCTGGCCCACTCAAAGGATTTTTAAAAGCTTGCACTACCTACAGTAAGGCCCGTCTATGCAATGAGTTAACATGCGTAACTTAAGGGATGTTGAAGATGTGAGAGAGTCAACACATCACAACAAATTATGATAGATTAAACCCTTTTGTTCCTGTAGTGAGCGGAGACTAGAGGCCAGACTGTAAACACTGGAAAACTTAAAATGTTTCACTGTTAAAATGTTTCACTGTTATCTCAACTGTAATTTTAGAGAAAACAAACATGGTGGGAGACAAGCAGGGAGCTTTTTTTAAATCAGACTACTTCACTGCAAATTCACAAAGAAAAAGTAAAAAACTCTGGATGAAGGCTTGAAGAGGGTGTGAACATGGCCTGTACATTTTACAGCGAGCTGGAGGTGAATCGATTTGCTGTTGCTTGGCTGTCCTCAGGGTTCCCCCCCACGCAACAGGATATCACAAAAATTGAGCATTTTTAATACTGAAGATTTGAACTGCCCATGCAGTCTTCTGAGCAGATAGGATAACAGTTTTAATGCACCTCAAGAAAAATCTGACAAGACAATCTTAAGAACCATCAAAAAAATCAGGACTTTTCATAGGATTGTTAAAAAGGGAGAATCAGGCATTGATTCTCTTGTAGTGTGTACTTAAGACAGAGTATTGAGACAGCGAGTACTACAAGACTAGAAACTGCTGACTTTCATGATTTAGAGGCGATATATTGTCTTTCTGACCTGTGAGCAAACCGCTGGTGCCAAATTTCAATAAAAAAAAAAAATTTAATTTAAAAAAGGGAGTGCTCTAAACAGATTTCCATGTCAATGACTCACCACGTCCCTACTTCAAGAGAAGAAGCGTGACAAAAGGTGAAACTTACACACAAGAAAAAATACAATAATCCTGCAATGTACCTTCTAAGGTGCCTTTTATATTCTTTAATTAATCAGAAATCGTTTTGTATAATCATATGTCGATCTTGCAATATGGATAAACTACCGCAGAATGAATGCACTGTGAAATTCTTATCATGGGCCGCGTATTGTGTTTATTGTATCGTATCTTAAGTTATCTTGTGATTTCCACCCCTACGAAACAAGTTTTGGCCTTGTCAGTAAGTCTGACACAGGGTTTGTGTTCATTTGTGTTGGTATACCTGTGCATACTTAACCAGTTACTGTCTGGGTTTATAACATCTGCTGGTGCATAAAGCTCAAAAAACTGTCTTGATTAACGTATTGGATGCTTTATGCTTCATGAGGTTGACTAGAACCCAGTTTAATAGTGAACTGTAAACTAGAGGTAGACTGATTAACTGCTGGCAGATATTCTTAGCTGATATAGACCTATGACATACTTTGACTTTGTGTGATCAGGCCACGTTTTGCTTGCTTGGGCTGAAAACTTTTTAAACTTCGTATGAATAGGAAAACTAAACAGATCAATCACACACACTGTTAAGTAAAAACAGATTTCCTCCTCTGTACCTTTCACAAATGATGGGCCGTGCGTCATGTTGCTGAGATAAGAGAGAGGAGCACGGTTGCCGAGGAGGAGGAGCGATGGGTGCACATCCATCAAGGGGGCTGCTCTTCCTATGGGAGGAGGAGTCTGGAGCTGACGATGAGGAGGAAGACGAAGAGGCAGAAGCGACAGCAGCAGCAGCAGGTTCAGTCTCGTGGCAGCTGACAGAGCCAGAGGAAGGGGAGGTCTCAGGGCCCACTGCACCATGTAGCACCTCTCCAGCAGCAGCCTGCTCCGCCTCCAGTGTGGGAGAGGAGGGCGGTGAAGGACGAGACTTCTTCTTATTGGACAACAGCTTCAGTAGACTTTTCTTTTCCCTCTGCAGTAACAGAATTTTTTTTTTTTTGTTAGAAGACTGCAACAACTCCTGAGGCACAGAGGCACAAGTAATTTCCACAAACCGCAGACAGGTACACTGTCTGTTTCTTTACCACAGACAGACGCTGATGTGGGGGCAGAAATTCCTATTTTTAGGTTCAAACTCTGGTAAAAAGTATAAAAATGGCAGCAGTCTGTTTAGAAATGAAAGAGACAGAAACAAACTGTGCATAATAATAAGCTCTCCTTGTTGATTGCTGCTTGTGACTCTCTCCAGTGTGATTAGAGTCTTAAGATATATGATCAGGAATATCAGACACTCCCAAGAACGGCAACCATCTGGCAAGTTACTCAAAGATGCTAAAACTAAAGACAAATTACCCACTGTGATGAAACATGCCAACATCGACGGAAAGAGCAGCAGAAATGCATAATTAGTAGCAGAGAATTTTATTTCAGCTGGAGGCTCGGCATAATTTAAGACACTGACAACCTTGACGTCCTTGTCCAGTCGGCAGGCAAGAGCGGCGCTGTTAGACGCAGGATTGAGGCCAGAGCTGTTCACAGGCGCAGCGAGGACAGGTACAGGTCTCAATCCGTCACCCTCCAGGGATGCGGCGCTAACGTTGGGTGGGGTCAAAGATGCAGCAGCGCAGCCCATTGCCACTCCAGACCGGCTGCAGCCCTGGGCAGGGCAGGAAGAAGGCTGCGAGCACACTGCGAGGTGCGGGAGATAGGCCACAGGTGTAGCAGACTGGATGGGTGTGACTGCTGCCGTGGGCCGGTCCTGACTGTGACAAGCAGCTGCAAAAACAATAATAACTTGTTTTTAACTCTTTTCAAACAACAGTCTAACATTTAGCAGCAGTTTTTTTCCTCTAGTGTTCGCACCTGTCCTGACTGCATTGCGGGCCTGGTTCACAGTCATCTGGGAGTTGACGTGCAGAGGGACTTTTGGCTGCTGACCCGTGGCTGTTTGAGCTGCTGTGACCACAGCTGCAGGCTGGGAGTTGGCAGGTCCAGCGCTGGAGCACACAGTTAGCGGTTTGTTGAAATCAGGACCTGGAACAATCGCACCGAGGGGAGCAGAAGAGGGACTGACGATGGTGACACCTCTGCCGGCCTGAGTGCACAGACTCATGGTCACTTTGGGCTGCGTGCTGCCCGACGCCGTCCTGAGGAGAGAGAATAAGTCAGGTAAGATGTAGCTGTTTAGTGTCAGGTCCCATTTTCCTAGAATCCCTAAAACCAACACTTAAAGGCTTTATATGTGATTTTTCACACTTAAATGTAATATAAATCAAGTATATCCTCTGACAATAACTGTGAGTCATAACTGTCTACAATGGGTGTAACACCCGAGTCCCACTGTCTGTGATGTTTTCAGAGTCCTATCTTCACTTTGTTTACATCGCCGGTTTTCTAACACTACTATGAGTTTATTTTAGATCAATTTTAAAAAAAAGGTTATGCAGACAAAATTTCTCCTACAGCCTACATAAAAATAATAAGATATCTAAAATACATAAACAGATGGGAAGTATTAACCTATGGCTATGCATCACAGACTAATAAATATGACATCAGGCATATATGAGTGTACAATATGTTAACACTAATAAATGAGTCAGCATGGACTACAGACTGACCTGCTGACTGGGCTCATGTAGTTCCCAGGGAAGACTCCGATCTTGCCAGTGTGCATGGAGGTGCCCTTGAACCAGCCGTCCTGACAGCGTTCCAGCACCAGAAACATCTCTCCCTTCCTCAGTTCTAGCTCATCCTCCTTGCGGGGAGTGTAGGGGAACATGGCCACATACCTAGATAAAGGAAAAGAAGGGAAAAAAAAAAATCAGGAATTTCACATACAAACAACTAAAACATGGCGCTAATGCGAGTTAACATGAGGATTTCACCCTCATATGGCATAATAAAAAGCGGTTTCACAGTTTCGTCACAGCACGCCATTTGTTCCGGATTTATCCTGCACCCTAGCTGTACATCTGTCATCATCGCCTCTGAGACCCTCCAGCAGGGACTGTGGCCCCTGACCTAGAGAAAATCAGCACTGGAGGACAAAACAATTTGCGGGTCTCTCTACAGCAGAGCCAGAACAGGCAGCTTCGACTGGCAGAGCAGATCTCCGCTGGGATGTTTTCAGTCTGATATCAATGTTGTCAGGGGGGAACGTGAATGCTTCAGAGTCCGACATGCACACACAGGCAGACGAGGGCAGGAGAGCAGGCATGAGTGGATCTAATTCTTGTCAGGTGTGTGGTGTCTTTAAAAGGGAGTAATGAGGGGAAAGGTGAGGGAGTTCAGAAGTCAGGGGCGACGGCGAGGATCTCCAATAAGACCCAGGAGACCGTCCTCCACAGGTTCTGACCCCTTCACCTGTGCACATGCTCATACTCTGCAGCCCCCCCCCCCCCCCCCCCACTGACAGCTGTGAGGGGGGGGGGGGTCACAGACAGGCAAAACCGAGCATGGGCATTAAAGCCCTGAGCCATTTGTGCACAAACTGACTCTGACATTTCACTGCACATTTAAGAAGACTGCATATTTTAGTGTGGGACTGTTTTTATAACTCACACTGTGGGTCTTTGTCTCCCACTTTGGTCGCTTATGCTCGGGGAGGGCCTCTGTCCACCGGCCAATGAATACGCTGCTCCATCGGCAGAGGACTGCTGTGGGGGAGGAGGTGGGGGTGGTGGGAGCGCATCCTGTAAAAGAAGAACAGAAACTAGTATTAGAAGTTATAAAGGGTTTAATTACCATCTCACAACAATTCATCATTAAGTTCCTCTCAGTTTGAAGCAGAGAGACAAAAACAAGTAACTCAAGCCCTCGAAAAACAGAGAGAATTTGTTGCGTAAGAAGAGAAAGCAGTGTGTTTATGAGCCACAAAAGAGGGAAAGAGAATGAGAGATCATCTGTCATCTGGGATATTCCCTACGGTTTGCAAACACTAAAGGGAGAGTCTGGTTTGGCAGACGTTGTAGTCTTGTCCCTGACTTCCCCCTGCAACTGAGAATTTCCTATTCTGCTTGTTTGTTTGTTGCTAGGAGACCACGTAGCTCGATGTTAAATTCGTTGCAGCATTTAATTGGAACCATATGAAATGAAAAAACATGTCTGCAGACACACTACAGAGCGAGCCTCTAACCGAGCATGAGCGGATTCAACATGACTCACATGTTTTCCCTTTTTTGATCGTCTGCAATGTCAAGAGAAACTCTGGCTTTTGACTGGAGGCTAAAGATGGCATCCTGCTGTTAAAAGAGCACTGACATTTCCTTTATTTCACTGTGTTACTGGATTACATGACAGTAATTACAGTTGAATTTAAAAGCTTTTAAACCTGGGCCTTTAATTCACTTTTTTGGGGGATCTAAATGATAATAGGCACACTTGTAGAATTTTCTCTAGGCGATTTCTCCGGCATCCAGGAAACAGACGGTAATAGCTGCATTATAATCCCTGCAGGGAAGTATCCCCGATCACAGTTTGTCCACTAAAGTGCTTTTTTTTTTTTCCACTCGCAGATTGTTTTCAAAAGAGTCTTGACGACATAGCAGTAATGAAACACACAGAGTGAGACCTTTCTGTAACACCAGTCTCCTCAAAGACACAACACTACATTGACTAAATGATTAGTTTCACCTTCTAAGAAACTGACATCATCATCATAGGTCTACTGCTGCAGAAACCTGTTAGTTTGTATGGCTCAATGTGTGTCTTTTACAAAGTTGGGTTTAGATCCTACACAGTGTTAGTGCAATAAAGATCCACACAAAAGTACGAACCATTGTGTCAGTGGACAAAAAACGCTGGAGTTCTGAAGATAAAACGACTGTTTTTGTTGATAGAGTCTGGTGGATTTCAAGACAGCTGTCATGACTGTTTTTGGTTTTAAAATAAGAAATGTTTCCCCTTGAACACAAAGGTCTATCTTTGTAGGATCCTCTTATTATGATGTCGATATGTTTGATAGGATGTCTCTCACTAAGGCACTTTTGACTATCAGGATGATGTGCATCCATTACAGCTTTTCATGTGGCTGCCAGCTCATTAAGACTGTTTTAAAAAAAGGAGGCAAGTTAAGAATATTGAAATTACCTTTAAACCGGCCATATCAACACAGAGTCCATAAAATTAATTTTGTGTATAGATGTACATTGACTTTTTAAAATGTTGTTCTTTTGTCTTACATGTGTTCAATTTTAGTATATTGAACTGTCTTTTAGGATGATGATGAAGCCAACTCCTGCACCATGGAACAAGACATGCCTTTCCATACAAACATTGGCAGCTCTGAGCAGCAGAGTAATAGCTTCCATGACACAACGCTGGAGGAGAGTGGCGCTCAGGCAGCACTGTGGTATGTGTATAGGCCTATGTGTATGTGCAATAGTCGATGTGCGTTTCGGTTCACTGCTGACGCTTGAGCTGAGATAATTAGGTTGCCTGCAGCCAGAGAAATCATCTGTACAATAACATCATGTAGGGTTCCCAAGTGGAGCGGAGAGCACAACCTTTTGTGTACACATTCCTGCTCATTCAAAAACTCCACATGCCAGAGCATACACATAGACAGACAGGAAGTAGGCCTGCTGCTCTGTGTGGGCTGAAGGGATTTCTGGACATTTTTAGAAGTACTGATTTTTTTTTTTTTACCACAGCTGAAGTGTGTCAGAGACGAGTTAATTTCCGCTCAGAAGATTTGTCCATGTTATTATCTTTATGAAGTTTGTTCACTTACTGTGTGATAAATTAGCTACTGTATCTCATTCCACATACGTTACAGAGCAACAGATTAACATTGTTTCACAATTTCAAAGTCTGAAGTAACTAAATTGCATGTTGGCATCAGATACTCTTTGAAAGTAACTTTACTCTGAGCACTGAGGGAAAAAGATTAATGTTGACATAATCCTGTTAAAACTAATGAAATATAGAAACATTGCGTAAGTGAAGCTTTCATTCTCTTTGCAGTGGAAAGATAGGTGTTCTACTTTTCATGTTAAAACTTAGTACATTAATTTATGAGATCATCATGTTACCTGCACTCAGAACAGTCAGGCAGAAGGAAGTGGCCGCTATCTGGCCAGTGGATGGCTTTTTGCATAATCTGCTTTAAATTTATATCAAATAAAAGCAACACTATCTCAAGCTTTAATTACACAAGGTACAAAATCGTCAGGTTGCACTGATGTTTAGGGATAAAAAGCATAGCAAGAAATGGCATTACAAGCAGCAAAAGTTACCAAAGTGGGCTCTGTACTGTTGCAGATACACACACATTAAATCGTTTTTTCACTCTGCTCATTACATTAAGGAAAGTTCAAACATTGTAGAGCTCCTTTAGCCTGTGTGGAGTTCAGACATATTTTGTTGATATTTTTCAGAATTGATGTTTTTGTGTGTCAATTTGACAAATAATGATGACAAAATGTGTTTTGTTTGTATGTTCTTTTTCTAACACACTTTAATAATCATTATAGATTATTACTTTTTAGTTTGGTTGTAGTTTCTGTGCATTTAAAAATACCCCAAAATCATCTAAAAAAAACATAAACCCATTACCTATAAAGTTAGGACTTTGTGTCGAATGTTAATAAAAACTGAATGTGATGATTTTGAAAACACTGAATTTCCATATTTACTGAAAATTGCACAAAGACTGAGAAATGTCAATGTTTGTGCAAAATAATATGCCTATCTTGAATTTAATGAGAAAAAGTTAATTGAATAAATTCATAAGTGTATCCATTTGCACCTTTTATGAAAATACAATAAATTCTGCTATGCATCTTATCATAATGCACCCTAAGGTGTTCACTTGAAATAAAAAGGGTATTAAATGGATAGAATCAGTTTCTCCAATCATGATAATTTTTCTCTTTTGTTGCTTTGGCCTGTTGTTTAAAAACATTCAGAGGATTACACTTACCACAGGGATAGATGTATAGCTCGTCTCCGAAGGAAACGTGAAGACGGTTGCTGTAGTAACAGGACTGCTAGGGGGCGGGGTCACGATAAGTCCCGTTGTGCAAATGTGGACCTGTCAACAAATGGGAAAGAAGGATTATTACATCATGAATCCAATGTAAAGGGCAAAAGCCGCTCACACATGACTAATAAACGTGCCGCTAAAAATACTCTCAATGGATGATACACGACAGTGAGGCACTAGTGTGGGACTGTTTCCTGGTGACTTAACCACAGTGGTAATTAGATGATCTGATTGGTGAGTAGAAACCAGCTGACCACACAACAGGACATTTCATAGGACATATAAAGAGAGTCGGCTTCTCCGAGCAGTCATCCACGTGAGTCACGGTGGTGTCCTGGTAACAAGGCCATACTGTTGGACACACAATATCTCCCTGTAGCCAGCGCTCTCTCTGCATGCATGACTGCCCCAGACCGAGCCGCCTCAAAAGGTGAACGTTCCAGAAAGCACGCCAGCCTCAGATTCAATCTACACTCACTCCTTATCTGCTGTGCACTGGGTGTTGCCAGCAAAAGAAATAATGTGAGAGTGCGCTCAAAGGTGACTGTTTGTGAAACAACTGACGGAAACAAACCCGTAATATCTTTCTGGCTTGAAAGGACTCGATCACAAATAACTCTTACATGAATAATGATTTTTTTTTTTTTTTTTACTCAATTTTAAAAACAGCCCATAACAACAGTAGACAGTCATTCTTCAGTTTTCAGCTTGTATATCTCAGTCATTAAAACATTTCCATTGTCATGTGACTGTTAAGATCTGAGTCATTTAATAACACTTTTTTTTTTTACCAGATAAAGTTCTCTGGTAATCAGAAGTTAAAGAGAAATACAAGCTGGGATTTACCCTCAGCCTGCACCCCTTAAATGTGATTAGAGCCGTGTCAAAGACCATCAAAGAAACACAGATTTCTTTTAACACTAAACAGTTTAATTCAGTGTTTTAAGCTGTTTTAATTCCCAGATACATTAATTATGGAAAGGAGAGTGCTGCAGTGATCCCCATAAACTGGAGGTATCCTAAGTGAAACATTTTCTAACTTTGATATGGTGGTAAAGCTCTTAGAGCTTGCAGCCCCTACTTAAATACTGTAGAGTTAAAAGCACTGGATTAACACTTCATTTTAAGTTGCTGCTTTAGTCAGGGTAATAACTGGCCAAACGTAAATACATAAAATGCCCTAAAATTGTGCAAAAGCAACCTTTGTGTACATTAAACTATAGTCTAACTTAGTTCTACAAGTTTTCTTAATGAACAGTTCAAACCGGCAGCACTTTCTTATGTTATATCCAGTAAAATATCCAATTGATCATAAAAACAAGCAAATTTGAGACCAATTTTTTTGCCCCATCGTCCAGCTCTATGTAATGTCTACTGCAGTAATAGATGGGAGTTGTTTTCATGTACGAGACAGACTACTCAGCCCCCAGAGGCAACAAGGGCTTACCTTTGTTGTTTTTTTGTCTGGGCTGTGGAGGGAGGGAAGATGAGTAGAGGTGAAGAGGGGGGGGGGGGTGAGGCTGTGCATACATTGCCCAGAGAGTCTCTATTGTGTTGTTATTAAATACAAAGATCTGTAAAGCAAACAGCCCTGTTTGATTCACTGCAAATGATCGGTTTACAGGCAAAGATATTCATATTCTTTTAACAAATATTCTAAAATGTCCTTGTAATGATGTGAGGAAATCTCTGAAGTCCTTCAAAAATGTGTTTACAGCTTCTGTACTGAGAAAACTCTTTGATGATACATAAATCACACCAACATACAAAATGTTTTGGTTTAAATAAAAGAAGAAGACAGACTTTTAAGATCTACTGCACACAAGCCCTCTCCTATTCTCCCTCTCTCACACAGAGGCACAGAAACACACTGCAGATGAAAGATTAATGATTGAGTCTAATAGGGAGTTTCAGAATGAGGCATTTTAGTGAATCTGCAGCATCTGGACAACACAGAAAGTACACTGAAGAGTGAAAGCAAACAAGGAGGAGGAAAATAAAGAAATTCTGAATAAGCTAAAAACTCCCTGAGCATTGAAGCGTTGAAAACCAGATACTGCATGAACATGATCAGCAATGCTGCAGATAAGAGCGAAGTCATTTGAAATTCCTGATCCAGATCACGTTCATTTGATTGGATCTTTTCTTTCACCCAAACTTGGAAAAGATGAATTTTTAGTTCTAAATGAATGTATGACTGGTGAGAGCTATTGGGTGTATTTTATATTGTTTACATAGTATTGTTATCAGTTGGGACTTTTTAATTTAATGCATTAAGTGTCTTTAACTCAAAAAAATCAGCAGGACACTCTGCTCTTGTAAATCTGTTGCCTGACTGTTGAGCATCGATCTCCAGCAGCTAGCAGCCATAAAGCAGCTGTAGGTTCCTGCCATGTCGGGATCGGTGTGTGGAAACCTTGAGGGCTTAGCTTCAGTCGTTTTTTGCAGACGAGTGGAGTCACGCATCCATGATTTCAAACGCTTGGATGGAGCAATGGCCTGTTTGGTATGATGGGGAAAAAGGGAAGTGGGCCTAATTACTGACAGGAGGAGAGTGGAGCCTCTGAGAAGCAACAAACATCCAGTGGGAACAAAAGAAAGGAGCTGGAATGTGTATTGTGTCTTTTTGTTTCCTAAACACGGTTGCAATTAAGAACCACTGAACAGGATATTGACAAATTAGCTGGTTAAGAGAGACTACTCATCCAGTTCACTGATTTAAAGGGGAATTCTGTTTTTTTTTTTTTTTTAAATTGTAATTGTCAATTGTAAATCATTTTTGGTCTAAATAACTACATACCTACTACTAGGTGAACGCTCCAGCCTGCTTTATTAATCCTTCAATATTTACGTTAACAACCAGCTGCCTGCATATCATTACTAGACTACATATAAGACTAATGTGTCTGTTTTTATTCCCTTTTCATGAAGTGTATTTTGTGCTTTTAGCTGTGTTTCATGATTTTCTAAATGTGCCACATTTGTTATATGAAAAAAGTAGTTTCTGGTCTATTCTTTTCTAAGTTAAAGGACAGGACCTGACAATTTAAACCATTATCTTTCATGCTTGGATCATAAGTATTCTATAATAGCTTTAACTGAAACATGGCTAAATGAATCCATAGTTTCATTTTATGATATTTCTGATTATAAAGCTATCCATTGGACAAGAGAAATAAGAACTGGAGGAGGAGTATCTCTCTTCATTCACAAAGATTACCAGTTCATCAGCAGAGGTGATCTTGGGACTTTTGAATCCAACATCGCAGAATGTGTATTTCTTAAAATTATGTCAAGCCCCTCTCTTGGGGGAAGAAACATAATTGTAGGTGTTATTTATCGTCCACCCAATACAGATATTGATATTTTTAACAAACAGTTAACGGATGTGCTTGAAGTCATATCAAAAGAGGGTAAAGTTTGCTACCTTGTTGGAGATTTTAACATCAATCTGTTTAAAAGTGACAATATACAAACTGCAGAATTTCTAAATACAATGTATTCAAATTACTTTTATCCTCTAATTCATATGGCAACTAGGATCTCAGATACAACTGCAACCCTAATTGACAATATTTTTACAAACTTCTTTGATTGGGAATCAAATAGTGGTATATTACATACTGACATCTCTGATCATTTGCAAATTTTTTGTGTGGCTTATAAGGTTCAAGAAACAAAAAAGCCAGTTATTAGTTACACGAGATTATACACCAAGAAAAATATGGACATTTTTAAATTGAAAATAGCAAACATGTCATTGGAAAAAGTTCTTCATGAAAAAGATCCGGAATTAACCTACTCCCTTTTTATGAATGAAATTGTTAGCTCAATGAACCAATGTTTTCCCCTCAAGAGGATTAAAGAAAAAAAAGTTGATTTTAACAAACCTTGGTTCACCTCAGGTCTTAAAAAATCCTCTATGAAAAAAAACAAGTTATACAAGAAATATATATCAAATCCAACTCCCCTTAATTTGAAAAACTTACAAAAATAAGTATGTGCATATTTTACGTACAGCTAAGAAAATATACTTTTCAAAGAAGTTTAAAGAATCAACAAATAATATAAAATCTACATGGAATATTATCAACCAACTGCTAAATAAAAAGAAGAAAAAATCTTTAGGCACGAGTTCTCAGTTTCTGAATGGTGATAAACTCATTAATGATCCATATGAAATCTCTTGTGGCTTTAATAACTTATTTGCAAATATAGGTGCTTCTCTCTCAAATGAAATTGACAACACAATGGGCCCTTTAGATTACTTAGAAAAAAGTTATGGCTGTATCTCAAATTTTGAGTCCCCATAGCTAAACGAAGTAAGTGCCATCATTAAAAATCTAAAAAATACCTCAGCTGGCCATGATGAAATTGGTAGTTCTTGGTAATTAAGGAAATATCAGATTACATATTGGAACCTCTTACTCATACCCTGGGCCAATCTCTGGCCACTGGTGGTGTCCCTAAAGAGCTTAAAAGAGCAAAAATTATACCACTGTTTAAATCTGGTGATCAAAGAAATTTTACAAATGATCGTCCTATATCCATTTTACCTTGTTTCTCAAAAATTCTTGAGAAGTTAATTTACTCAAGAATAGTTACACATTTACATGAAAATAACTTCTTATATGAACATCAATATGGATTTAGAAAAGACAGTTCTACCTATATGGAACTTTTACAGCTCGTAGACAAAATACAGGCAGCTACAAATAATAATAAATACGCACTTGGTCTTTTTATAGACTTGTCTAAAGCATTTGACTCTGTCAATCACGATATTTTATTTGCTAAATTACAACATTATGGTCTTCAAGGTGACACACTGAAGTGGTTGACCAATTATATGAGAGAGAGAGAACAGTGGTAATCATGGTTGTGCTTCAAGCACTCTTAATGTAAGAGTGCTTGAATGTAATGGAGTACCACAAGGATCTGTATTAGGACCTTTGTTATTTCTTATTTATATTAATGACTTCCCTTTAGCTTGCAAACTTTCTTCTCCTATTCTTTTTGCTGATGATACCAACATGATCTTATCTCACAGTGACTTACACACCCTCATAAATAATACAAATTAAGAATTGGTGAGTGCTGCAAAATGGTTTAAACTTAATAAGCTTTCAAACACTTATCCATCTCACCTTAAACTTTATATGTTGCAGAAACGTTTTGTAAGATTGGCAACTTTCTCCAAAGCAACAGAAACATCTGCCCCCCCTCTTCAAAAAACTAAACATTCTTTCAGTTTATGATATCAATATACATCAGATATGTGTGTTTATATATAAATATATGTTTGTACCTTTTTCTTTACCATCATCATTTTTTTAAACTGAATTCCCAGATTCATTCATTCCTTTTTATAAAACCAAACACGGTCAGTTTTCCATCAGATATCGTGGGGTACAAATATGGAATTCCAAAAAACACGTTAACGGCTCTTCGTCTACAGAGATTTTTTATAAGGAAACTGTCTTCACATTTAATCCATGAGGTCAAACTTTTGCATATATAAAATATATTTCTATTTTCTTTTTATTCCATCAACTCACTCCATTTTTAATAGATCGATGCCTGTTTCATTATGCTGATAGAGGGTTAACATTCTCAGTCTTTCTATTGTATGTATGTGTCTAAGTGTGTGTGTATGAATACGTGTATAGGTTACTGTATATGTGTTTATATTTAATTTTGTTTTGAAATTGTGTAATTCGATTTGTTTAGTTGATTTATTTGTCTTTTAAGAGGTGAGGTCCCTTGTATAAGCCTGTTGGCTTCTTGACCTCTCCTGACACACCTTTTATGTTTTTGTTAATCCTATTTTGATGTATTCTTATATGTGTGCTAATAAATAAATAAATAAATAAATAAATAAAATGCAGCAGCTCCCTCTCAGTCTCCCTTCTTGTGTAATCTCTCACCTGTGAAGGTGCGCTGCAGGAAAGACCCCCGCTGATCTCTCCGATTCGGGCTGCTGCTGTGGGGTTGCTGGAGCTGATGAGTACCGGCCCGCTGATCTCCATGGAGTGTCGCTGGGGGGGGAGGAGCTAGCATGGGTTTGTGGGACATGGTGAGAGAGGTGAAGGAATGTCGCTTCTTGCTGTTCTTCTTCTCTCCTGCCCGCTGAGCGCCGTTGCTCTGGGGCCCCGAGGACGCCCCCTCACCCGAGTCCCCGTTGGAGTCTGACGGCTTATCCAACTCTATAAGCTGACGAGCTGCTGAGTTGAACTGTGAAGAAGGAAGAGAGGCAGAGGAGTAATAAAGAGAGAATTGTAAGGTGGAAATAACAGACAGGGAGACAGGGGTGATGGAGCTGACGGTATTAAAACAATCATGACAACTGTCAGTTTCTATCATACAGGTGAGAGACACAGAAGACCGCTATTTTAAGAGGTGAGGAGCAGAAGAGAGATCCATCAAGTCTGTACATGAGAGAGAATAGTCTGTGGAAGTCAATGGTTCCAAGTCAGCTTTAAACGTTCAGACTTTGTCACCTTCTCAGGTGACGTACTGTAGTGTGCAGCTATGGTGTAAAATTCAAAAGAGGAGCACTGAAAAGGTTTCAGTTAATCACCGGGTGCTCTCACTTGCTGTCACATGTTGCCACGAGCAGCTCCCTATACTTAGGACATAAAAGCAAAGCATTTAACTCCAATCCAGGAGAGAACCGGTGCAGGTTCATCACTGACATGTCAGCACATAAGTCAAAGAAGCAGTCCTTAAACAAACAACAACAACAACAACAAAAAAACAGGTGAGGAACCTTTAGCTCATTCAATTTAAAAACCACCCTTTAAAGCAATTATAGATCAGTAGTAAATAAACAAAGGCTGTACCAGTCAAATCAGATTAACAAGTTTTTGGGTTCTGCAAAGCACCAAACGGGTAAATCACTAGCGGAGCAAAATCTTTCATTTAAAGATCCAGTTGAAAACGTCAATGAGGGGACTTGAAAACGGAAATTATTAGACTAGAAATGTCTGAATGCTAAAAAAAAACTAAAAAAAACGTGATTTACAAGTCAAACATGGACTCATGTAGGTGGATTTTTAAGAACATAAGAAAGAGTTGGACCCCACAAATATTCTAGCTGCAGCTCAGCTCACAGCCCCTCAGCTGCCAGAGCGAGTCGTAGAAACACTGAGTTTTAATGTGAAACTGCGTCATTCAGAGTTTCTGTCGGTTTTATTGCCGCTTTGTTCTGTTTGCAGAGGAGGGGACCTCTGTGGATCATTCAGCTCTGGTAAAAAATGAAGGGTCATTCTGAGACTTGGTTTGTGAAGTTTACAGCCTGCCATACTGTTTCTCCTGCATTACTGTGTACAATGATGCTAAAAAAAAAAAATAACAGGGCAGTGGTTTGAACTGACAAAGTCTTCCACAGGGGCCTTCCTATCTGATGATTTGAATTGTTTCATTTTAAGGGGCAGCTGTAATATAAACAACTGAAAAAGGCAACAAAAGCTCCCGGGGCAATAAAACAAACAACGGCCTAGATATTCAGTGGCTGTGCAAAAATTAAAGAGCATTTTGGACCACTCTATATGTTTGCAGCTGATGTAGTAAACCAAAACATCTTTCCAGAGGACAACAAAACATTCTGTTCTGCTTCAGTGGCTCCTGCAGTACACAACCAAACAATATATAGCTTAAGACAGTCAGCATTCGGTTTCTGCCTCGCTGCCTCAGTGTATAAATATATGAATATTAAAAGCACTGAAAACATTTGAAATGAATAAAGAAAACTGTCACAGCTTTTGAGAAAAGTGCTCTTCTTTGGACAAGCAGCAAAACACGTCAATGCAGCTTCTTCTTTAGACTGAGGCACTATTCTCAGACTCTTTAATGGTGCTGAAAAGGTTTTGATAAAATTCACAACAAAAGACGGCACACTGCCTCTGACAGCATTTATGTGAGAAATGAAATCATCTTTAAAGGACAAAGATTTACTTCTTACTTATGTCAGGATTATTTCTAAACCTTTTTAAGTGAGACCTGTGGAGCTCAGGGAGCGAGAGACTGTGACTGTCAAAATCTTCAAAGACGCCTTCAGTGGCTCTGTGAAACGTTTCAAAAGGAAATAGAAGTAGTATCGTACACAGCTTGCAAGGTGTAGAAGGAAAAGGAGTTCAAAGGATCTTTGCTCTTTGCTGATCTTCCTGTGGCACAAACACCCCCAAATGACATTTTGACATTTTTAGTTTCCTTACCTCAACATATGAGATGGGAAAAATTCCAATTTTATCTCCCAGCATTCCCTCTGCCCAGTTTTCATCCACTCTGCGGATCACAGTCAGGATATCATCCTAAAAAAAGTCAAGACGGAAAGCGAGGAGCGCCGCATGAGGAAGAGCCTAATTAAGGATGCTGTGAGCTAAGAGAGTTTCTCATCCTGGAGGAACAAACCTTGAACAGAAATAATGAGGTAGGGACAATGTTCTATTAAAAAGGCATCCCGAAGAGTAAAAGCACTGAGGTCTAGGGCATTTTTACTGTTTGGAAAACTACTTAGTAAGCTGTTTTTCTGTTGTTGCTGATTTGGTGTATAAACAACTGATGACAGAATACAAAAACCTCAAAGTGTGACCCAAACAGCTGGATAGATATAACTGCTTAATTACTGTAGTTAAAGCGAGCCATGCTCTGTATGGCATTCATTCTCTGCAGCTTAATTACAGCTGTTCATCAAGATGTCTGGCTCTAACATGAAGCATTTCTTTATGTGCTGTAGCTTACAGCCCTGAGAAAATGAATGCCTGGAAGACAGACTGTCAGAGTAATGAGAGGTATTTTTGTTTTACTACAGAGACCATGTGGCAGAGCTGTGGGTGCTGCAGTGTCTCACCTTGGAGAAAGGCAGACAGTCCTTGTCCGCCTCCTTGTCTTTGAGCTCAAAGTCATACAGAGCTTTGCACTGAGGTGGCGGTTGCGGAAGCGGCTTGATGACCTGCACAAAGTTGGTGGGGAAGAAGCCGTGGACTCCGCCCATCTCCCCGTGGTACCAGTTTTCGTCCACTTGCCGTCGCAGGATGATAACGTCGCCCTTGGTGAACTTGAGGTCTCCTGGCTCTTTGCCATCATAGTTGTAGAGCGCCTTGGCACAAGGGAGCTGTGGGACACCCTAGAAAAAGAAGAGGGGGAAAGTTAGACAGGATGAAGGATGAGTGAAAGATTTGTGTTCAGACAAATATTAGAAACGTATATTTACCCACACAAGTGACAGCACTATAATTTGTGATTATTTGTGTTGGTTAAACACAATCTGAAAATGCTCTCCCTTCCTGATATGTTGGAAATCAAACACTTGAGTGTGGGTTCATAATGTCCCAGAGATACAAACAGTTCTTTCTTAGATTCATTTAAGTGTTGTTCAGGCTATGACAGAACAAGTTCAAGTGCCGAGTTTGATGACCCATGGGGTTAGGGTCAATAAAGTATCAGGGGTTTCTTGGATTGACAGCAGTGGTCTGTTTTATCCATTGAGAGTCTGCGTGTCCGTTTACAGTAATAAATCAGTTAAAAGGATGTTACAATAACGACATCATGATAAAGCCACGTTAAAAGTGACATTTCATAATTTGCTGGTTCATTTAACAGGACTAGACATGCATAATGTTTTGCACAATCTCAGAACATCAGACAATTCTCAACACTGAGCAGTTGTTCACAGCTTTTTCATATTAGAACAAATTGTAGTGATGGAAAAACAGCAATGGTAAAACTACCCATACCAGAAGTATACGCAAAAGGAACATGGATAATGAAAAAATACGGAGTATCACAACTTTGGGTTGAAGGTTTCTCTTTGTGTTTAGGCTAAGCGATTCATGCAAAATGAATCACTAATCAAAGGTCCATTTTACAGAGCAGTACTAGAGAACAGTAAAAAAGGAATATGTATAAACAAAGGTGTAAATTGGACGCCAAAGTATAAATAAGGATTCAGAAGCTTGACAGCAGTCAATATAACAGCCATTGGATTAAAAAGCATCGTTTACATTCAGTTGTGTCACTCCTGAACCAGCTAGAATACAGCACACAGTGTCCTGTTTGTTTTCTGATGGTTAAACGGTTTATGTTGTGTGTTCACAGTTTAAGTGTGATGAGTCCTGCTGGTTGTGACTAGCTGACTAACGCCTTCAGAAGGCCCAGGACTCTGTCCCTTTATCTTGAGGAGGAAGGTTTTGTATCTCAGCCTGCGAGCCTCGAGTCCTGAAAGGCCCATTCAGGGAATGACAATCCAGGGAAAGAGGGACAGGGCGAGTAAGGGGGGGAGTAAGCAGGATAGAGAAGCATCAATGTACTCCATTCAGGGTGGGTGTCCGTGAGGAAGGCTGCAGTCCAAACCAACCCCCACCATTTATCCCCATGTGCTGTTAGACATTTCTGGCAGTGATCAGAATCACAAACTGGGTCTCAACGCTGGAACTGAAACTGCAGCGTCGACAAGGAGTATGGACAGAGATAAGATAAGAGAAATGGCAGAAGCTCAGGCAGAGAGAGGGAGAGTGTGATCCAGAGAGAGAGGGGTTAACATTGGGGTTTGGAGTGGGCTCTGCAGTCTTGTTAAAGGCTAATGAACCGTTTAAGGGCTCAGAGAATAAAAGTACAGAATGAGCTGTGATGGTGAGCCAGGGTGACATTACCCTGCTGCAGAGAATCACACAGCCTAAAGCACAGAGCCAATCGCTCTCTGGCTGTGCTGTGCTGGTCCAGCCTGTCGGCAGGGAGAGGGGTGGGAGGAGGGGGCACTGCAGCCCCCTGCAACACTGCACTGGAACTGGGCCTCCTTTTAGAGGAAAACAGGGCTTTTCAGCCCACCCAGGCCTGGCAGGGAGCTCCGTGATGAAAATGCAAATGAGAGTTGAAGCTCTGCCATTTTTGTGGCGAATGACAGACCGGGGTTCAGGCTTACACAAAGGCAAAAGGATCAAATGACATTGTAGTATGAAATGCTTGTCCTGTTTGTTAAGTTCATAAGCACATGTTTGTACACCAAGACCAAGACTTAATAAAACCTGGGGTTGAAGCACAGTGTCCAAAGTCAGCTTTGTTATGTAAGTCCATTTGCACATGTTGAAGTCTGACTTCTGCACTCATAAAAGGTGTCAGTGAATGAAGTCTTGCACGTACACAACACATCCATGTATAATATTTCCTTTATAGGCGGGAAAGGCAAGAGGGACTTGCTACAGATTTCAATTGAGTAATTAAAGTAATTACAGTTCTTCTTGATGGAGCTATTGTTGTTTCATGTACAATTACACAGCTCAGAAGGAAACAAACAAAAGCTGCAACCTGACTGACAAAATGCAAGTGGATCTGGTTTCAACTTGTCTGGTAATTGGAACACTGACTTTTTCTGGGCAGCATCAGTCCACAAAAATCTCTCTAGACCGTATAATATTTTTTAGTCTGACAGTCTAACTGCCTTCATCTCAGCTTGTTTTTTGATCTCCCTGTCCTGGCCTCAGAAAACAGGGGCTGTCAGTAGACGACGTACATTTCCATGTTTCACTTGACTTAACATAGTAGGAGAAAATCAAGACTGACTGTAGGGGCCTCTGGTTGTAGCCTTTGAGGTGGTGTGCAAGACAGAGCAAAACTTGGGATGGGTAGGGGGGGGATAATTTCCGGCTGCATCCATGGAGACTATGTTGTTTGTGTCTCGTGGACCTGCATAGAGGAGCAACATCAGTCCATACCAGAGACCCCCCTCTGGAGAAAAAAAAAAAACAGGAATGCACCGAAAAAAAGTTCAAGAGTTGTAACCACATAACTGCTATAATAAGTCTAATCTCAGGCTGCTGGTCGCGCCGACACAGCTCCTCGATGCTTCTGAACTCTACCAAGGGGCACGAGGAGATAGCGGGAAGATGCATCTCACTAATCTCATCCACAAAAAACAGCCCCAAGTTCAGGTCAATACACCAAAAAGATCCAGTCTGAGGAGGGGTAGGAAAGTTGTTTTTTCCCCCCTTTACTCTGCCCCTTCAATTGTTCTCAACATCTGCTGTGAAAGTTCATGGAAGTAATTATGCAGCAGCAAATGCCACTGTTTGGTTTCTCTATCAGACTTGGAAAACTTGGGAGTCTCTTTTATGATTTAGAGAACAGGATTACCCACAGAAGCACCAACCTGTTTTGAGTGCATGTAACAAAAGCAGTCTAACATAATAATTAAAATCTAAAAAATGTACTACACTATCATCTAATCCCAATACTAACAAGAAAACTTTAAAATACGATGCCATGCTGCAACCCAAATGTCGCCAGCTAGAAGCATCTGGACTATCAGAAGTCTGCAGATAAATGATTAAACAGTTAAAGGTTTTGAGGATTTAATCAGTCGCACTCGTTACCCTGTATAAGCTGGATAAACAGTTGTTTAAGTGAGCTACACCAGACAAGCTGCTTCAAAAACCTCCTCCTCCTCACTCCACATTTTTGAAGTGTTAACAGTTGTAATAAGTTGTAAATATTAAAACGATAAACTGAAACATCAACCCCTGTAACAACAGCTTGGGTATTTAAGAAAATCTGCAACTTCAATGTTATCTCTGCAACTGCAGCCTTCCAAAACAACAGCTAATGTGCACCAATGTGAGACCAACCACTGAGGTTGGAGGGCAGGCTCATGTCTTTTTGTCTGACAAAACAAAAAGGCTTGTGTTAAAACATGTCCTTCTCTATATAAGTGTAAGGCTTCAAACACAAAACTGTTTTGAAAGACCTAGCAGCAGCGAGAAAGGCCAACTGCTGCGCCCCATTTGTCTGGGCCAAATGAGCATGTCACAAAATCTAACATACAGACAGACCCAACTAGCATGTGCTTTTTGCACATGCATGGCGGTAGTCTTTATCAGTCATCAAATAGGGGAACTCAAAAGACCCCAGACTAGCGACAAACCAACCATTTAAACATGACTCGCAACGGACTCCCCATTCAGTCTATTTAGTATAAATATGTCTAATCACATAAGTGTTGGTGACTGGTTGTTTAAGACGAAATGACTCGCCTTGCAATCTTTTTTGTGCACTAATTCTTTAGTGCTGAACAGCTAATCAGAGTGTCAATGACTTCTCTTGCAATGGTTCCCCTCGGCCAAACAAACGTAATCAGCCAAAAGACAGCAGAAGAGCCAACCGGTGCCAATGGTGCAGAAAGGCAAAAACTGGGGCCTCAGATGCTGAAAGTCGGACCGATATTTGCAGATGGCTGAACGTCAATCTAGTAGACCAGACAACAAAACTTTTTGTGTTTCATGTTTAGTTGTGTTAAGAATGTTTTATTAATTGGTTTTTAAAGGTTTGTCTTGTTTCATAATTGTTTGCTATGCTAGCCTATCATTGTTACCTGTTTGTGTGTGTGTGTGTGTGTGTGTGTGTTTGAGTGTGAGGCAGACAGATAAGCAAGGACATAGATAAAGAGTGACAGAAATGAAAGAGAGATTAGGACCCAACATTTTGAGTATCAGCTGGTGTGTGCAATTACTCCTGTACTGCAGATAATGCAATTAGACCTGTGTGCTAAAGGGATTTGGCTGTTAAAAGTGTTCTCTTCCACAGCACTGGATTATAACAGAATTAACAAAGTGTTCTGCTCTACAGCACAGCCAAATGTCAACAACCAGTGAGCGGACGTGCATAAAAACACAGTGTATGAATGCATGCATGCAGAGCTGTCGAGGTAAGACTGGGTCAAACTGGGATAATTACTCTAACAGCTTGACTTTCACAGTCACATTTCCAGGAGAAGTTAAGACAATAAAGAAACAAACTCCCTTTAGGACAGGTATGATGCATCTTAAAGAGGCTTATTTAGATTCAATCAGCTGAACTAATTTATAATTATAACCTTGCAGGGCACCAAACGTTGTACAAAAGCTCATCTGCACAGTGAAACAAATCAAGGTAACTTTTGCTCTGTCAGCAGTTCAAGTGCAGTGTGAAACCACAGCAGACATAAACCTTTATCCCACCCCCGGAAAGTGCCAGACGCGACTCCACTTCCATATGGAAACCTCGAGGAGCTCTGCAGGGGGGCGGAGAATGAGCGGGGGGAACTACTGCCCAAACAGTGTGCAGGATGAGGAGGGGTAGTCTGTCTGGTCTGCCCTC